CGCCTATCTAATGCCTTACATTTTAAGATATTTTAATCTTTTAAACACATGTGAAAAGTAACAGAATCTAAATTAGTGGTATTTGAATTTCTGAATTACCAACCATGTAAAATTAAACAGATCAATTAGCTCATTGTAAAATTGTGCGATCAAATTGAGATAAAGGTTAATTAATTTGTAAATAAATGCTTAATGAGATAATATTTGAAATGGATTAATAACAATGTGTCCCAGCAAATCAGATTATATTATTTGAAGTGTAGGTGATATTGACGTGCATGAGATAAAGGTTAAATTACCCTAATCTCTTACACTTTCAAACACAAATGTATATAATAAATTGTATTTGTTTTCTTTTAATGACAAAAATATTGCATGGATTAGACGAAATCTTATCATAGATTTATTCTGTTAATAAGATTAGAGTATGCCTCTACAACTTAAGATATGATATTAGGCAAAGTGCCAATAAATCTAATCTACATAATCTAACATAGCAAACTATATTTTGTTATTACATCAACTTATTGTGCTATTATTCAGTCAAGAGCTATTTCGTAGAAACACATCAAGGCCATTTCGTACAGGTGCTGTTTTTCTCTGAGAATCTATTTAGTAATCTATAGAAATTGAATCTAAAATAAACCAGCGTGTAGATAGAAGATAATTGTGCATAACTGGATTGTGTATGATGTTTATTGTAATATGGATTGAAAGAAGTAAATTGATCTCTAATTTAGAGGAGTATTAATTTTGTGTGAAAGAATATTTATTTTAGCAGTACTGATAGTCTAGGTTTTATAATTCTAACAAGCCTTCATTTCAAAGTGATCTTAAAGATAGTGATATGGATTAAAGGAGAAGTAATTCCATTCCAAATTTAGAGGAGTATTAAAATTTTACAAAGACAATATAGACATTTATTGTTTATGTTGATAGACATTTATTTTGGCACTACTGATTGTCTAGGTTTTATGGTTCTAACAAGCCTTTATTTCCATGTGATCTGATGGACAATAGTCAGTCAGTAATAGTGAATATTTTTTTTAATGACACTTGAAGAGACAATATAGAGACTTTAATAAGAAATATGATACCCACTTGATCTAGTTTTTAGTCTGTAGTACAAAGACAGTTCATTTCAACTGGTAAATTATAAAATTAAGATTTTGATAGGTCACATCAAAAGTTTTGAAATTAGAACAAATGTTGCATTTGAGTTGTTGTAGTACACCTGGAGCCCAGTGCTACAGTTTGGCTTGGGATCATTTCCTTGGGATCTACATTCATTTGGTTCCCTATTTGTATGTGGAACCTATTTGATTGCTTCTTTTTTCCCCATAGTCTTTACAAAACATTCTGCTAGAAAGGTTTTCAACTGCTATCTGGTATAAATCTTTGATTTGATGTCGATTTATTTTTTTTAAAAACATTTGTCTTTCTTACTATTATTGGGTCTACTTATTCACTATTTCTTCTTGGATTGTTTCCCTTATTATTAGTTTTCATTTTGTTGAATGAAGCCTGTATCACTGGATGCTTACAGCTAGCCTGCAGATCAATTCACTTGATCTGATATATACATTTATTGTTTATTGTTTTGAAATATCTTTGTATATTGTGTCCTGTCATAGGTTTGTCTTATGTAATTGTTTATGTGTGGTGGGGTCCTCCTAAACTAACTATGAGGTCCGTGTATTATGTATGCCCACATTTTACTTGCAAAAGGTCGCTTTCTTGTAACTAAATAAAATAAGGTAATTAGATAAACCTGGAACTGGACCAAACTGCCAGACCAATTCTTTTAGTCATTTTACTTCAGCAACTTTTAGATTAACTTCTAAATTTTACGTTTTGTTTCAGTCAAGAGCTGGAGAAGACAAGACTGGAACTCCGTGAGAAAGAAGAGACTCTTCAACTAAAGGAGGATCAGTTGTTCAGTCAACATGAAGAGAGAAAGAATGAAGTAGAGCGTGAGAGACATAAACTGACAGAAGCCATTAGAGAATTTCAGAAAAACAAAAGTAAAGTGGAGAAATTAGAGAAAGATACTGCACAACATATAGCAGAACAACAACAGCGTAAGTTCTAGATGGATGTAACCAGTAATCTCCCTTAGTTGTTTGAATAAGCTGTGTTATATACCCGAATTGTGGAATCATGATGATTGGTGTGTCCACTGAGTCGGTTAACACAAAATTAAAAAAATGTCCATAAATATAATTTTGGCGATGGAGAAATGCCGAAATATTGGCAACTGAGTAGGCTAACGCAAAATAACAAATTGCCTTCGAAGATAATTTTGACAATGGAGAAAATGTCTTATTGATGGTATGAAAGAGAAGAGCTGGTTGTAATAAAGTTATGTATCTACTGTTTTGAAGGAACACAAGGCAACAGTAGGAGGTCATTCCATTTGGCTATATTACTTTTCTTTCCAGTTCTGTTCCTACATTTCAAATAAAAATCTGTTTATTCATTTACTTATAAAAGTAAATAAAGGTAAATCTCACATGGTGGAAAATATTTTTTCTATTATTTATGTATTTAAGGCCTTGTGGACCTTAACACAGTGAACAGTTTTGGGAATGAGAAAAATTAAGTGAACATTTTTGTAATGAAACCTGGTTAAACTTCAGTCAATTTGTCTAAAACAAGCTTTAGCAGAAAAATAATAAAAAATGTATAAATTTATTAATTAAATTTACAGTATAAATGCATATAAATTAGTGCTTAAAAGAGTCTGTATCTATTTTCATTAACTTCCTTTGAAGGATGAAATCTGACTAATGTAAAAAGACCATCTTTCATATTTTTCAGAAACAAGAAAGATCATTGAAGAGGCTGTAAAACTAAATAAGGAGAAAAGTCAAGATACATCAGTTCAGTGTGATGTCATTCCTAAAGATCCAGCTAGTATCAAAACTAGAAAATTATCCAAAGAAGGACGAATCAAGGATCTTGCTCAACAAGAGTTAGTGAACAGAGTCTCAACCTTTGAAAAATCTAGATCCTTGGCTCTTGAGGCAGAGGCACTGGAAGAGCAAGAAGAGTCTATTCAAGTACAGCAACAAAAAGTTCGAGCTAGAGAAAAAGACTACAAAGCCTTCGATAAGTCTTTGATAGAAGAACTTAGTCACGAGAAGCAAGTTGTTGGGAAGCTTGAAGCCCAAGAAGACCAAATACAAGCTTATATTCAAGAAAACAAAGATTTGATTAAAGTTGCCATGGATAAGCCAAATCCTATCCGTGGTGGTGTTAGTGAAATGAACTTACAATCTACAGGGAAGAAAAAACATGACTCCCTCCTTCCACTCAAACACATAAATGTAGAACGGTTGCGTGGAAATTCTCCAAAAAAAGAGATAAAGGTAAAGAAGTCACCACTCTCCAGCCGAGATGATCTTTCAGCAAGCTCATCAAATGAAAATCTTCAGAAAAAGAAAAGATCACCAAAAAACACAAAATTAACTTCCTCGGCTGAAGACATTACTAACAGGCTTTACAGACAACCTAGAGATGTTAAAGTTCATAAGTTCTTGAAGAAAAGTTCAAGACACCTTTTACTAAATCAACCTGTCAGATCAACTCCTAAAGTTAGAACTCCTCTCACCACCCCAGCACCACTTATTTTACGCAGACCTCCTAAACCAATCATTAATGACCCACTAAAGCTAAGAACCTTTGGAGGATCTGACCCTAACCTTGCACGTCCAGAATTAGTACGATCAAGATCTCGCATAAGACAAATTTCAAGTATGTGTAATCTTGCCAGTGTACCAGAAGCTTCATATGAAGCAGAGTCAGAGGCTGAATCAATGCATTCTGAACCGTCCATTCCAGTTGCTGTTGCTGCTGTCAGACATAGAAATAAACATATTGATATTTCAACAGAAAGATCTCGATCAATGCCAACCGATGGTAATTTTGAACAAGCTTGGGAAAACTACTCTCAGAATATGGGACTGAAGATAGAACCAAAGTATTTGAACTTGTCGGATAGTGAATTGAATTCGCCTGTCAAAAACTCTGATGATTCCTGCATGATGAACTTGAATGTTGGCAGAAGATCAAAGAAAAGAAGACGTGAGATAGATTCTGGTCCATTTTCAGTGGAGACAAACGATGTTGATCAAGATACACTACCTGGCAGTATAGATGACAAAACACCTAGAAATCAAGATGAATCAAAAGATGAGGCATCAGATGATGACTGTCAGAGAGCAGAAAACAGTTCTATATTTACACCGGGAAGAGACTCTACAGGCAGGGAAGAATATATCCTAGTCAATGATGAGTTGAATGCTAAGAAAGGAGGCAGAGAACATCCCAACTTTGACGTAACAAAACAAGACCAATCATCATTGCATTATGAGAACACCGAATCAGTGATGGTTTTTGGATCAGAAGAAGAAGAGTTTATATACAGTGATGAAAATTCCCATTCAGATGTATTATCTGATTCATTAGATGACATGAGTGAAGATTCTTTGAGTGGCTGTAAGGATGATGAACACAATTTTAACCCTGAGGAAACTCAGAGAATGGACAAATCATCTGAATCTAATTCACCCAATCTGTGTTCACCAGATATTACCAGAGCAAGTCCAGGGGAAGAAAATTACATCTTAATTGGTAATGTTTCTGACGACTCGATGGAAACCGAACCTCAAAATGTAAGTGCTATTAATATAAACCGAAGTGTTTCATTTCAAGGTGATCAAGAAAGAAGGGACAAAATTGTTCCACCATCAAAACGGTCAGACCATTCAACATTAATTCCTAAGGACAGCCATCTTCCACTATCCGGCAATTCAAGCCAAACATCTAAATCTAGTCAAAATTTTCCAACCTCTCCAGGATATTCTTCCAAATCATTACCTCTTAAAGAAAAATTATCTAAATCACCAAAAGATAATTTATCAATATCCTCTGTTAAGCCACCAAAACAGCATTCTGGTTACACAAAAGAACAGTCTACAAAAACAAAAACGAGATGTACTGATAATGATGGTCATAACAGTGGTCATTTGTCAAGCAAGAAAAATTCAACTTCAAAGAGCAAATTACCAAACTCGGCTTCTTCAGAAACTACTTTGGGGGCTTATAAGCAGAGAAGTCAAGACAAGTTAACAGTCATACAAGGGATGGTACCACAATTAGAATTATTGTCAAATAGTAAAACTCAGGATGTATCCCGCCAAAGGAAACAACAGCTTGGTGTATATTCCGCAGAGACCAATTGTTTAGATCAGGAAAATCTCAGAAATAAATCAAAATTCCGGAAAGGGACAGCCCCTGATCTCAGTTCAGCGGGTAAAACACATACCGGTACTGATGATATTCGAATGATGGAAAAGCCTGAGTTGAGAAGAAGATCTCCTGTTCCTGAAGAAAAATCATGTGTTACTGCAAGAAAATCACTAACAAAGAAACCAGATCATCCAGAGTCGATAGGAAATTCTACAAACAAAACAAATATTGGTTCACAAAAGAGATCACAAAAACATTTAAAGCCAACCACAGGAGAGACAGACACCTCAGATTCCTCTACAGAACCTAAGCCAACGTCTACTCCCAAAGAAAAGATTAGAATTAAAATAAAGTCCTTGCCTAATGATAAAGGTATTACTGGTGATACAACTACAAGCTCAAATTCATTACCAACTACTCCAGTTAAAGTAAAATTCAAATCGGCCAAACCTAGAGGAATGGTTCTTTCAGAAGAAAATGTATCACTATCTGCAAACAGTGGAAGTTTGAACAAATCATCTGCATCTTACTCAGAACACCAGTCAAATTATGGCGCCCCGGGAAATGAAAAAGTAGATGAAAATGAACTATCTAGGTCAAGCTCTTCAGTAATATCTGAGAATGAACCCATTTCAGAGTCAGAGAATGGTCAAGCAGAAAGTTCTTCTGGAACTACTACCAAAGATTCTGAAATTGATTCTGTTTCAGAAAGTGATGCACAAAAATCTGAGGAAGTTGGTCCATTAGGTATACAGGAAGCTGCAAATGACAGTGTCATTGTGTTGGTTCCTGGAGAAAAAAGAACTCAGATTCTTGGACACACCAGTCATCAACCATCAAAGAAAAGCAAATCTGAAAAACCTTATAGTAAAGATAACATTGAGTTCAACGATATTTCTCACACACTTGCTGGTTTGCCTACAATAAATACTACTATGACAGGTTCTCCACGGGCTGAATCCTTCAAAAGTGAAGAGAAATATTCTGATATGGAATTCCAAGATGTGTCTGGAAATTCTGTTGTTTTAAAATTAAATGAGGAACCTCCATTATACTGGAATGAAACACAAACCTCTTTGATAGACAATACAAATAGTTCATCAAATAAAGACAAGACCAACACAGATCCTCCCAAAAATGCAAATATTTTAAGTTTAGGTGAATATAATTTTGACAATGATGACAATTTGAGAAAATCGGACAAATCATTGCACGGAGATAGTTCATCAAATAAAGACAAGACCAACACAGACCCTCCAAAAAATGCAAATATTTTAAGTTCAGGTGAATATAATTTTGACAATGATGACAATTTGAAAAAATCGGACAAATCATTGCACGGAGAAGACACTCCCTTGAACACAAGTTTAAAAAACATGACATATGTCCAAAAAACGTCTCAAGACAGTTCATTAACCGGCACCCAAAGCAAAGACCTATATCAGGGAACAAGCATACCAGAAGTTAGTGACCAAAGTACAAAGAGCTTAGTACCTGGTAACCCACTACAGAAACCTCAACAACCCACTAATAGGTTTGAATCTGAAACATTGTCTTCACCCACTGATGTAAATGTATTGAATGAAGGTGATTTTCAAACTACAAAGGTAGCAGCCCTGAATCCTTTAAAGACGGGCAAAACTGACATCCAAAACATAAATACTACTGTGCCTTTATCATGGAATCAAACCCAAGGACAATATGTTGTAGATGATAATTATGAAGAGTTAATCAGTTTGCCGAATAAATCAGATGAACTATCAAAATTAGATAGCCAAATCTCTAACAATATTGAATGTTTTAAACCTGATAACCAAATTCAAAAGCAGCAACCACTCACAGAAGAAAATTTATCAGGATCCTTGCATGAATCAGATCATTTCAACAGAACTGGGTCTAATGTCCAAAATATATCTCAAGACAGTCCAATAACTGGCGCACAAAGCAAAGACCTATATCAGGGAACAAGCATACCAGAAGTTAGTGACCAAAGTACAAAGAGCTTAGTACCTGGTAACAAAGACCTATATCAGGGAACAAGCATACCAGAAGTTAGTGACCAAAGTACAAAGAGCTTAGTACCTGGTAACCCACTACAGAAACCTCAACAACCCACTAATAGGTTTGAATCTGAAACATTGTCTTCACCCACTGATGTAAATATATTGAATGAAGGTGATTTTCAAATTACGAAGTTAGCAGCCCTGAATCCTTTAAAGACGGGCAGAACTGACATCCAAAACATAAATACTACTGTGCCTTTATCATGGAATCAAACTCAAGGACAATATGTTGTAGATGATAATTATGAAAAGTTAATCAGTTTGCCGAATAAATCAGATGAACTATCAAAATTAGATAACGAAATCCCTAATAATATTGAATGTTTTAAACCTGATAACCAAATTCAAAAGCAGCAACCACTCACAGAAGAAAATTTATCAGGATCCTTGCATGAATCAGATCATTTCAACAGAACTGGGTCTAATGTCCAAAAAATATCTCAAGACAGTCCAATAACTGGCGCACAAAGCAAAGACCAATATCAGGGAACAAGCATATCAGAAGTTAGTGATCAAAGTGCAAACAGCCTAGTACCTGGTAACACACTACAGAAACCTCAACAACCCATTGAATCTGAAACATTGTCTTCATCCTCTGATGTAAATGCATTGAATGAAGGAGATTTCCAGAGTTCAAATACATTACCATTCATGCAAGCTATTAACTCTGACAGACAATTATGTCCTCCAATCCAATCTATGCTTGCTTCTGAGGTAGCAGGCCAGAATTTCTTAAAGACGGGCAAAACTGACATCCAGAACATAAATACTACCGTGCCTTTATCATGGAATCAAACTCAAGGACATTACATTGTAGATGATAATCAAGAAGAAATAATCAGTTCACAGAATAAATCAGATAAGCCATCAAAATTAGATAGTCAAATCCCTAATACTACCAATAGTTCTAAACTAGATAACCAAACTCAAAAGCAACAAACACTCAGAGGAGAAAATTCATCAGGATCTTTGAATAAATCAGATCACTACAACAGATCTGGGTCTAATATTCCTGAGACTATTCAACACACCAAGCAAGCTGAAAAACTTAAGGTCCAGACATTTTGTTGTGAAATGTCATCCATAGATAAGTCTGGTATTGAAGATGTAGCAACTACATCAGATTACCATCATATTGACACAAGAGGCAGAGAGATTCAGCAGAATGAATCTGAAAATTCAGAAGATTCTCGTGGTGTAGAAGAAGCAGACACTGATTATTCCGATGATTCTTTGAATGGTGCACATTTAGAAGGAAATCAGCAACCAAATATTGAAAATGAGACAGAAAGTATCAACCATACGGCTGGCATGGAAAATCTAAACAAACCACCAATCATTGCAACAACCTCAAATACTCAGTATCAGAATCTTTTACCTGAAGATTCTTTGATGCATCAAGAACCCCAGAGTCTGGTGGTCAAAGTGGACAGTGTCTCCAGTCAACTCTCCAATGATTCCACAGCAGACATTCTTCAACAGAACTCAAAAGATCAGATATTGTCATCTAACCAAAGGTAAGACATTTAAATGATTATCAAATTTACTTTCAAGAGTGCCAGAAAATTTAAAACAAATTATTGGTAGATTTGTAAGATGATTAGGAATATGCAAACTTTTTGGACTGCTTAAACAACTTAGCTACTGTGGACATATGTCTAGCTGCCTTCCAACCTATCCTTAAATTATTGATCACAGTATATTCTACATACCTGAATGTTCTGTGCCTGATCGGCCAATACTCCATGGATCTTCATCAGGAATTTTAATTATATAGGTTGTATTTACATAACTGAGAAAGAAAATATACCTTTCCAAAACATGATATATTGATGATCATGTATAGAACATGGGACAAGCACAAAAACATGAAATTTATTGTGGGAGTAAAAATTGTTGATGATTAGGGGTTGGTTGTTTCAGTAGTTTCATAAGGCTATGATATGTATAATATATAGTATATTTGGTGCATTTCCGTTAACCTCATAGTGTATTTTAATGTAGACATGTAGTATTTTCATGTAATACAGCATGGGCTACACTCTAAATGTTAGTTCTGACTGTAACAATAAAGGTCTAGATATCAACATGTATAATGATAATGTTTTCAAGTTGTATATAATAATACATCTGACATGTTTTGACAATCAGTTAAGTATGAAGATATAGGCTTATTAATGGAAAGTTGGCAATACATATCAGAACTGGGTTTTTTTTCAATTTTTTGATTTATGCACCAGGTAAAACTGAACATTGTTTAAGTCATCTAATTTTAAATTCTGCTTTGATAATAGTAAGTGCAGGGGAACTGCACCACACAAAATTTATACACAGACTTCACTCAAATTTGAAAACAATTAGGAATACAAACCAAAGAAACCATTGTGCAATGCCAGCATGAGTCATGATCTGCTATATGCTACACGAAATACAAATGTAAGCATAAGAGGTTGAAGTTGAAGATATACAAATAATAAAGAAAATAATACTTAGACCCTACAACAGACACAAAGTATATTTCTATATTTCGAAAATTTCTTCTGGATGTATTATATAAAGTAGCAGGTGACTGACTCTAAATCAAAGGTCAAGGAAATCTATAATTTTAATATAGGGATCAAATCTATTTGTAATACTTGATGATCAAGGTCATTAGAGGGGTATATGTCTGGTATGTACTATTGAAGTAACTTATATAACTGAATGTAAAATGACATGTCTTATCTTATACTGTATATCATAATATACTACTAGGGGTAGTTTGACTAGGGTCAGGTCACAAGATTTAACAATGATAACCTAGGAAATTTTGATTGTTCTTTGCATTGTGTCATTTGTAAATTTGGGTTAAAAACACTGAGTAGAACATGTTGGCTTTATATTAAAAATGTCTATAAATCGATTGATGCTGAGAGCTGGACAATGGTTTTCGAAAGATTAGTGAGTATTTGTATTTGTTTTGGAATATAAAATAATTTTAAGATTTCAAATGGTTTTAAGAAGGCCTATAGAGAAGAGAGAAGCAAAAAATGTTTAAGTATGAAATAGTCTTTGCTGGCAGAATTTGTTTCTTTCCACTGATAATGACCCTTAAGCACAAGTGCATATTGAAATAAAAATGTACCATATGTCGGTCCCCAAATGACCTAGTTTGTGTTGAGTGGACATTAAAACCCATTTCTCTCTGTGCAGAATTTGTATCACTGATACCTCAATATGCTACTAATGATCCCCACCTAGAGGGCAATTGATAGAAAAAAATTTGTATTCTTTTCACTTCTGTGGTTATGCTTCTGCCTACATCACTTTGAATTTCCATTGTACTTGAGATCTTGAATTTTCTATCATTCATGTGACTATACCCGTCACTCCCATGATAATAACAGAGTCTTTGAAAACGGGTACACTTATTTCATGCTCTCGCCATAGAGGGGAAATGGGACAATATTGAGAAAGAGGGTTTAACATCCACTTGACACAAACTAGGTCATTTTGGGACTAAGATGGTTCAATTTTATTTCAATAAATCACTTGTGTGTAGGGGTATTCATCAGTGGGAGGAAACCGGAGGACCTGGAGAAAACCCACAAGGTGGGATGGGTGACCCTACTCCTTGTCACATACAAGCTAGGAGTCGAAACCACACCACTTGACTCAATGACGGACCTTACTATCTTGCAGCCATTCGTTAAACCATTTAGTCACTTAACCCCAGGACAATATAAAATGTTTGAAATAGAACCTTGTCTGAAATCCCTCTCAATATATTTACAGTAAACAGGTGGCATAATTGAGGGATGCTACTCTACTAGTATTTGGGTTTTGATCACCAGTACCACACATATTGTAATATAGTCTATCCCTGTACCTTTGAAAACTTATACAAGGGCATACAATTTTGATGACCAATTCTTCTTGTTAAATCTGTTAATAAGAGTTTTATATTTAATCTGTTATTTCACAAAATGTGAGCTTATTTATCACCTTCAATGTATTATTTGAAAAAAAGAGAACTGAGCAAGGGATGGGTTAAGAAATACATTTTCAGTTTTAAAAAATTTATTTAGCAACAAAGTATGACCGATTTAATCTTGTATACACATATCCTTAACACTTTTGGGGGTGAATTCATAAAAGCAAAAATATTTTCTGTTTAAAAAAACAGATTAATGGAAGAACTAATCCTCTACAAAAGTATCCTTGACACCAACTCTATATCGATAAACTTGTTGTCTTTCATGACTTTTATGGTTCTGTTTTAACACACAAATCAAATCCTAGATTGGAGAATTAAATTCTGTGTGCTGTAATGAAGTACTTGTGTTTGTGTGAGATCAACCGTTACATAGAGGTGATCTGGCTGATTATAGATTATTTATTATCAGCTGCATACAATCTGATTAATTAATATATTATTTACTGATGTAAGAAGATCAAACTGAATTATTTACAGTTAGATCAAAACATAAATCGTTATTTTATTTATCATTTTTATGGATCCATAATTAAAAGATGTATTGTGATGTTTATATCGTATATCAAGGGAAGAAATTTGGGCATAAAGCATGCATCCAATTCGATGAATGTAGGACTGTTCACCTGTCCGGTATCTTGGTTTTCCAAAAAAGTCCCTTCAAACATGCTAACAATCAAATTACCGAAATACAAGTTTAACCTTAATGGAATCTGTTTCTCTCTTGGTCCACCCGTGTAAAAGTTCTCCAAAGGCTTTGCTAATTTTCAGTAAAATCTGACGATTGTTACCTTACCTGGCCTAGCCAGCTGTGGTTTTGAATTTGCTTGGCATGATGTCTATCCTTCAGTTTTAGAGCTAGCATGGAGCTTATGCACGGGGAGCGAGGGGGACTTGACATACCCCTGTCTGTACTTTTGTATAGAACTAGACATTTTTTGTAAATGTTTGCTATCGTTCATTCAATAGTATTCTATCTATATATCAAATGTAAATAAGAGTCATTTAGTACCATGTATACATGATATACTTTTAGAACATTCAAATGTTCAGCCATTAGCCTATATGGTCAGAATATATCCTTAATATATACTTAACTGACACAAGGCCAGGCATTGTTTTTTATTCGTTTTAACAACACAAGGTGTTTAATTAAGTAGAAATACCTTTATATAGCGCTATATAAAACAAGTCCTCACCTGTGATGTACTTGTCTTGTTGGGTGTATTGATCTAGTACTACAAGTACATAATATTATGTCTATATGAACAGACTTCAACCTTCAGCACGAATATTGTGTTTTGGTCTGGTGATTAGAACGTATTTTAAATGACAGCGGTCATAATGACTTGAAGTGAGAATGAGCTGAAATTAGGCTATGTGAGGGAGGTGACTTTTGTAGAATTTGCAGTTATTAAATTATGGATAACATGGTTTGTTACTTGTGTTACAATTAATTTGAAAGACTTGGATAAATATAATTTATGAGGTGGGTTAATTCATAGGACATTTGAATCACAATAAGATATCAACTATTGGTGTTATTTCTTCTTTAATAGAGAATTCCCTATCAACTGTTTAAAGGCCTTGACTATTACTTGGAGATTATCTGTATTATTAATTATATAAGAAAGTTGGACAACCAGTCTACCATTGCTTGTGACACAAGATTTTGGATTAACTGATCTTTTTTATGGGATTATGTATTTAGGTTGACATGTGCAGGGTTATTTTTATTAAAGATTTCTAATAGATCATACAGGTGCATTTGAAATGATAGTGAAATATGATACCTCTATTAATATGAGCTCTTATTGTGTGTGTGTTTGGGTTTCTAACTATTCATGGATCATTTTAGCATAGGACACACTTTTACAAAACAAAATATGTAATATATAACTAGCCAATGTAGCTGTTTGTGTTTTATAGTTTAAAGCATGATATAGGACAGTTCATATCAGTTGTCAAGATGTTTGAATGAATATTTATTTATTCAAGGCCTACTTGCATATCTGTTGAATAGTGTGACAAGTGATCACAATATAACAACAGTTAAAATACTACATTGAGATGATCAATGATATTTTCGAAAGGGATGCAGTGAGGTAGTGCTCTGCTTTTGCTATCAGAGGATTGTTATTTTAAAACTGAATGATGTAGTTTGGAATCATTTCAAATATTTCCGCTGTTTCGAATCTCTTGAGATTGATAGTAGTTAGCCAAAACATCTGAGATGTTCTATTCCGGCTTACCATATTATTTTCGTATTTGATGTGAATGATATTTGGATATAAACGACTGTATTCTAAAGACATTGTTGGAAAATATAATTCTTTGATTTTTCCAAAATCTGGAAATGATTACTGTGGTTGTGCTAGTTTACCACATAGCCAAGATTTGGTTAGAAAGGATTGGTATAGGGTGAGTTAATATATCAGTTATCTATTATTGACTATCACCTATCATTTATTATTTTGATCATACCTATCTATGACTCTTCTAAGAAAATGTATGTAACTGTAATGGTTCTTTGCAAGGCCAAAGCTCTTTTGTTCTTAAAACTAGTTTGCTATGGCAAATGTATAAAAATCTAATAGTCCTTTTAAAATTGTCTGTGACGCATGAGCTCTTAATTTGTTAAAACTAGTAGCCAACCTAAATATTATCTTAGTCAAGAGAAGAAACCTATCAACATCCAATCTGCTTGTAATTTATGTGGATTGTTGAGATAGTGCAATGAAGAAGGCAAATAGCTATGCCCCAACCTTTCACTGGATAACTTAGATGGCATGTGTTTTGTTTTCTGGCAACCCATCTTTAGTTTTATTAATTATACTTAAACTTATATTAATAGAAGCCTACAGTGCCCACCTATATAGCAACGTGTTGGTGTTCTGGGAACCGTTTAACATGGGATATTCTTAATAACATAATATTTCCTTATTCATATTTTTCTGCATTTGATCAAATTTAGTATTAGAAGAATACAAACATGTTAATATATATGATCAATAGGTCTATAATTAAAATATGTTTTAAGCAAGGAAAGGATGGTTACCATATATCTCTAGGTGGGAACATTTCTGCTCCATTGACTATACTTTCAATCAATAGAATTGTTTTGTTTAGCTTGCATCCTATGGAAACAGTTCCCAACAGTGTTCAGATAACTCACTGAATCATTATGAATGATAATTTTCTGACATGCCACTTTGATGTTTGAATGTGATCTTTGATAATTTCTCCTTACACTAATGGAACATTACTTGGATTCTCTCATATTGGGTATAAAATTTTACAGATTATTTTATGCTTTCATTAGTTTATGGTTTACATTTGATGTGAATTTATTACATATATATATTTGTTTTGTCACAAGGATCCACAGTGGCTCAGTGAGTAAGTCTTTGGCTTGCTAACTTGTAGGTTCTTGGATTGTTTTATCCTTGTCGTAGCTGAGAAACTTTCTTAGGATTTTCCAAAGTGATTTCCCCTTGTCAATGTTACAGGACCAGGATGTCGCAAGGAAGAGTGCCTAGTCGTTTGGATAGTTAACCAGCGGCTGCCAGGCAGGATACGCCCACATTTTCGAGAGATGGATAGAGAACAAGCTAAAAAGAAAGTGATTTTTCCTACAATCAAGGGCCATAATTCAGGAAATTACAATTCCATATGCGCAAATATCGAAAGGAACCAAGATCTTTGGGTTTTTAACTTACAATTCAATTTTCAACAAAATAGGATAAAAATTGAGACCTCTATAGGGTCCACAACCTTGATATACCATATTTTTACGCTATTTGAGAACGAACGGAGGCCATTTTGTCTGTCAGTTTTGGGCCGATTTTCACGAAATTCGAACTCAGCTGTCCTTAGGGTGTAAGGGTGATATAATAATACGTTGTTTTAAATTGGATAAAAATTATGACCTCTATAGGGTCGACAAGCTAAAAACGTGATTTTTTGTACAATCTAGGGCCATAATTCAGGAAGTTACATTCTGATATGCGCGAATATCGAAAGGAAAAGAGATCTTTGGGTTATAAGCATACATTTCAAGTTTAAACCAAATCGGATAAAAATTGTGACCTCTACAGTTTTCACAAGCTAAAAATGTGATTTTTCGTACAATCAGGGGCCATAATCCATGAAGTTACAATCTGAAACATGCCAATATCGAAAGGAACCGAGATCTTAGGGTGATAAACCTATATTTCAAGTTTCATTGAAAGCGGATAAAAATTGTGACCTGTAGACTGTTCACAAACAATTGTGGACGGACGCGGACGGACGGACAGGGGCAACGACAATATACATCCATATGAAAATGTGGGCGCATAAAAAACCCATCAACCTGTGTACTCTTTGGAATGCATGTAAAAGAACCCTTTAAAGTTAAAATTCGAACTAAGATAAAATTCCATTAATAACACACTGCATGGTGAATGCCAATCTTCATTTATCTGGATGGAGCAGAAAAGTATCACGTTAAACTCTTTATTTCATTTCATTTTGTACATACATGTGTGGATATTTCAATTTGCAGTTATTGTTAGGTCATGTTAAACTTTTATCCATTCAATATAATATAGTATATTGACAAAACGATCAGCTTACAGTAAATAATAGATTTTATGGATGTGTTTAACAGAAAAATGTATTTTATAATTAGTTATTGATTTCATCTACAATATACTATGTCTTGAGTTGAGTCTTATAACTTCACTGGTACTTAAAACAATTGAAAATATCACATTGTCATTAAAGTTACATGAAGTTTTACTTTTAACTTTCCATTAATTACATGGTCATTTGTTTTATAAATTAATGAAGCATTTCTAGGTTAGTTGGTCTTAACTGAAAATAATTATGTTATTAAAAGATAAGAAAGGTTAAGTTAGGGTATAGCTTTCTCACAAATATACCCTTTCAACTTGTGATCAAAATGGGAAAAAGATCTTTATTTAAAGATGCCTGCCCTCAGAATCTGTTGTACTACGTCTCTCACTTTTTCCATATCTGGTCACAATCATGTTTGTCAACATATACATTAAGAACTCCCTAATGGAATCAGGTCAGACAATCTACGTTTGCAACCTGTGACATTGATCCAGTAGGCAGTCCTAATCGCCAGGCTGAAAATTAGTGACACCCTTACATTTTTGTCCTGTGCGCACTCAATGAATGTTTTTCAGGGAGTCCAGTGGGTGTCATACTTTTATTGGAAATAACCACTCGATAAATACTTTTGTGGGAATGTATCTTTAAAGTAACAATAAAAATTTCTCACGGCTTAATTCACGCTAATATTATTAATGCTAATGTTAGGTAATATTTAATTAAGAAAACGAAATCAAAATATTAATGCTAGATAATCTCCTGGCTTGGATTCAATCGGATTTATAATTATTCACCAACAACAAAATGGCGGCAGGCTTATTACAATGCGAGCAGCATATCTTTGTACATACTAAGCAGAATTGAACTATTTTTGGACCAATATTCATATTAGAGATTTACATTTAACAATGTTGTAGTTTGCAAGGGATTCCTATTATGCAAAATTGACACAATGAAACTTGAATTGCTTGGTATATTTTCTTCAGTATCAATGTAATATGTTATTGGAAAATATAACTATAATCCTTACACTGTATAAAACTGCACAATAGTCTTTTTTTTTTTTGTTAACAAGAAATAGTTTATACAATTATACCAAAGGATTGTATTTTTCAAGTGTACGTTGAAGTAAATTCCTGATACACTGACTACAGCTTCAAATTCCATTCATAGGTTCCAAAAAAAATTCAACAAAAATAAATTCTATTAAAAAGAAAATTCTGACGTTCCATAAATAAATCAGATTGCAATATTTGATTGGCTAGATTAATCAATGAATAATTAAAAAGAAAATGCTGACTTGTCATAATTAAAAGGGAAATAAAATCAGATCTCAGTGTTTTAAGACTAGGTAGTCACTCACTGACTGAACACAATTAGATTAATCAATGAATTATTAATACGAGATTTGCTTGGAAACAGATCATTTTCATGCCAAAAAATTACAAGGATCAGAGATAAGTTTGTGGGTTATTGTATATCACAATGCTATTAACTATTTGAAGTACTAGAATATGAACTGTAAAATAATAAACTTCATAGTATATATGTCCATGAATAGTTCATTGTTGAGAGCTGAATACAGATATAATAAACGGTGTTATTACATACCATAGATATATAGATATATACATGTGATTAATGACATTATCCCTACACTTTAGTCTATGGATTATTGAATTATATATTGGTTTTAGTTCACTGTAAACTCAGTGTTAGCTCTAATAGTTTGTGTTTTATGGTCACCATTTTCCAGTTTAACATGTTAGTAGAAAGAAATTTTAAACAGGCTTATTCTATTTCAAAATGACTATTCTATTTTAAAGAGAATGCTAGAAATTTTTCAAATGGAATAAATATTAGATAATTCCTAAAAATTAACAGGTTTGTTATAATATGTTCATTGGCTGCAATCCATAAATGTGTATTAAGAAATTTCAGTGATTTACTTTTTCTTCTGTGTTTTTCAGTGGTTCAAGCCGTCGTCAGAGGAAAAGAGCACAGCGCCACCAGAAAGATGTAAAATCTGACGATACAGATGAATTTTCAGATGACTCTCTTGCCTCAGGTAATTGTTTTATAAAATTGCTGTAATATTTAGATAAAACCTTAGTAGTTCTTGCTAGGTAATAGAAAATAAATACATTGGAAATTTCAGTCCAATCACTTTATTAAGAGCAAGTTATGAATGTTGGATTTGTATACAAGATTTAGCATAAATAGTATTGATTATCAAGTACCATTGCTATGATAATAAACAAAGTATTGATTATCCATTTTAATGTTAAATTATTAAATGTCAGAAGTGTCTTAATATCATGGCCATCAGTTTGGCTTGTTAGGTAAATAAATGTCTAAATAATAATTTATAAAACATTTGAAGCCCGAAAGAAGACAGAAATGCAACAGGCAGATTTAGCTTTTGCATCATCCATCTTTAAATGTATATGGTCTAAATTAGTTGACAATTGTGTTACGGTAACCCTTATTCTTTTTTTTTCAGGTTCGAATTCCAAACCTTCCTCCAGACCAGGATCTGGCAAACGGCGAAAACGAACCCGCAATTCAACTGAAGGAGCTAACAGGAAAGGTGACGCCAGTACTGATGAATATGCTCATTCTGGAAATAGCAGTTTTTCAGATGATTCATTGACTTTTTCTGAAGATAGACGTGGATCACATACAATTGATCTTCCAGAAACCAACCTATCATCGGCCGTCGAAATAGCTCACATAAATGAATCTCTTGATCAACTGAATTCAGCATTACACAAGTTGCCAGGTTCAACAGATCCAATGGATGATAGCATGACACAAACAGAAGGGGGAAGTATCCAAATGGGTATGTCTCCTGTCAGTATTTGGAGTTCAGGAGATTCTGGAATTCAGCCTTTATCAGGAACTGAGATGTCATCATGTGGTATACAAACTGTGATCAGTGAAGAAAATTCAATAAAATCTCCAAAAAGACGTGCTTGGAACCTTTCGATTTCGAATCCAGATGTTTGGAAAAACAATCCTTTGACGCCCTTAACTCAAACAGATGAAGTTATTGAGCTGACAACCAATGATTCACCAATAATGGTTGATTACTCATCAGAAGGTCAAAGTACAAATAATGAAATAAAATTTCCATCATTGACAACCACATCCAACAGCAAACTGGAAACAGTACAGCCATCAGCTGTAGAATATGACCCAGATGGAAAAATTAAATATCTAGTGACGATAAATGAAGATGAAACAAAAATACTGTATAATGTAGAGAAGACAGAATATAGAACCTACTCATTAGGTGAAGAAAACAGAGAAAGACAGGGAGCTCAGACGATTCCAGACAGTATTAAAATCAACCTCACAGAGACTAAAACAGTTCAGAAGAATGATAATTATGAAACTGTTCAGAGGGAGAAAATATTGTATCAGGGTGAGAATGCTGCTAATTCAGATGCTATTGTCTCCTCTCGGCTTTATCAAGAAGCAAGATCTTTCCAGCTTGAGCAAGAATCTTCAAATGGTATTGTTAGTCGAGAGCATTCCATAGATCGGCAATCTGTTGATTCGGACCATAAATCATTCATAAAATCAAATGATAAACATTCTAAGGAATCTTTGCAACCTGTAACCGTTCTTCATGAAACGACAATAAAGGATATGCCTACAAATGAATTAGATCCACAAAATCTTTCCAATGATCTAAAAGAAAGTGATAGTCACATGGGAATATTGGAGGAGTATGATGATAATTCATCTTTACAATCTACCACAATCAACAAATGTGCTGAAGGTAGCAGTAGTACTACAGACACCACAGCTTCAACGACTAGCTCTTCAACTTCTTTTGCCGAAGAAAAATCTAATGCCTCCGGGAATATTATGGGAAATGTTGCAGTAGATTTCATAGCAAATGGTCATAGGACATTGCTTTTACCAGTAACTTCTTCTTACTTACAGGCAGAGCAAGAAACTAACTTGGCAAATAATCAAGATGAATCCAATGAAGAGCCTGACAAAAATGTTCAAACATCAGGATTAATGACACAACATATAAATAAGACAGACACAACCTTACAAAGAAACTTTGACCTGTGTCAGCTTGCTATTGAAATAAAATCAAGCCCAGAAGAATCTGTCTTCAAACGTGCACATGGAATAGACAACGAGCAGATAACTGCGATAGATGAAGAATTCTACTCATCACCTTCTTTTGAATATGAAAGTAGTTCATCCAAGTCTATTGGAGAAGCAGGAACAAATACCGCTGAAGGGCACTCATCTGAAAATGAAAATAAGGGAAAATCCAAACATTTTAGGCAAAGAGATGATGAAACAGATGAAACATCTTCAGTTAACTCTAGCCTTTCAAAAGAGCTAATATTTTCAGAAGTAACAACTCAAGATAGACAGGAAGTAACTGCCGTTTCCATTAACAGTGATTCAGAAGATCAAGATGAAACAGATTTTGATGATGGTTACTCCTCGATTAATACATCAGGGCAGAGGTCAGGCTCCATGATTTATCATCCAGATATAGGACAATTCTTAGTTGCGTCTGCAAATGCAATGGCGGAAGACTCATGGACTATTACTTATCCTCAAGAGAGTAAGCATTCTAATGAACAAAGCAATACGACCAAAACACAAAAATCAGCAATACATCAAGATGATAGAAGGGACTCTGATAATAATATTATAACCCAGCCTCTTAATATTTCACCAGATGCTGTCACAATCCAATCAGGTCATGAGCCACCCAGCAAAGACGCAAATGTCCATTCTGTATCTTATGTTGAAGAACATACAAATAATACAGTTGTAGGACTTCAGCAAAGAAAATACCATGATCAAGATGTTATTGCCTCACAAACTAATGAATGGAATAAAGATTCATTTTCCAACAAAACAGATGTTGAGAAGGCACAAAGCAAAGATCTAAATGTCCATTCTGAATCCTTTGTTGAAGCCCACACAGATAATACAGTTGAAGGATATCAAAAAACAAATTACCATGTTGAGATGACAAACAGTGACCAAGATAAGACAGACAAATACTTGATTACACAGCAGTCTTCATCCAGTGCATCTGGCAGTGGTTATTATCGTGAAAATGCTGAAGTAGAAGGGGCAAACAATTTAGTCACCGAAAGAAAATTACAATACAAGATAGCTTTGAAATTTACTGACACTAACATTGACCAAAGTAGTGAAAGAGCTTCTGTATCAATGTACCATGACCAACCGGATATTCTGAGTGAAGGAAATGCACCTAATATTGACTGTAATCAAATAATAGATGATGATCACACCATTCAAACTAACCAACTGCCCTCTAAGAAGGATTCAAATCTAATCTCAAAACAAGCTAAGATTGTTTATGGTAATGAACAGAGTGTTGAAGAAGCCAGTTTTGTGAATGAAACAATGGAAGAGTATATGCATACTGTCAACAGTACTGAAAGTCAAATACCATCAGATGTTCATGCTCATGAATATGATACCTCCCATATACATGTTGAACCAGTCAATGCTGACATTAATGTAGAGTCTACTAATGATGAACCGTACATGCAAATCTCTAGATCAGCAACAAATACAGATAGTCAGTGCTCAGATGTTGAAGTAGAAAACAGCTTTATGATAAATAGAAGAAGTCTTATTCAGTCTGAACGTAAACCAAGTTTGGTATTTGACTCTACAACAGATATTACACAAAATCAAAGGAAGAACTCCAGAACTTATCTTTCATCCACTGCAGTAACACATCCTTCACTGGCTGTTAATACAGATGTTGATGAAGAAGAAACAATCAGTGGGCACAGTATTAAGACTACCCATTATACTTTCATTAATCCTGGAAAACAGACATCATCTTTTGTATCTTCTGTGGATGTTGAAGAAGGAAACAAGTCGAAAAATGAAACAGATATTCCAGATATTGGTTCTACTGAATTACATTCTCCACAAGAAGCTTTGAAGATGACACAAACATTTTTGAACTCTGGATCAGTTTTAAGTAAACATAAGGAAATGTCAAGTTTGATCGCTCAACATAATTCATCAGACCTTTTTTCGAAACTACAAACTTCACATATTTCAAAAGCCTTTACCAATTCATACCAAAAAGATGAATTAGAAAGTAACACCAACCGTCCAGTAAGCACAGCAACCATATTAATCCCAGGACAAGATGAAAACCATTTTAGTGCCACACAAAATGTATTGGCAGTTGGTCAAGCATTTCTGAATATGGATGAAAAAAATAAAATGAAGACAAATCAAACTGATATCTTACTAAATGAGATGGAACATGGGTCACAGTTTTCTTATACGCATAAACCTGTTTTCGAAAATCAAAAGATAATAGAATTTTTCCCTCCAGTGGTGAACAAAGTTCAGGAAGCAGAAGTTAAATGTGTTGAAAGTACCTCTTCATCAATATTCGCCAAAGACAGCATTTTGTTTGAGCTTGATCCAAAGAATCTTCAAAGTGGCAGGAATCATCATACCGAGTCTGATCAATCAGGTACAGAGCTGGAAGATTCTGGATTCCATACTCTTACAACTACTGACAGCAGCTTATCTCCTGATTCTGAAGAACACAGATCACCAAGACGAACACCATCCTACCGATTGCCATTTAACGAGGAAAGCAATTCGAGAAATAGTACTGTAACAACTATCCATGAAATTAAGGAAGAGAAAATTAATTTTACTCATCCTGAAGAACAATCTCTAAATTTTAGATCGGATGTATACTCTGAATATTCTTACAAGACAAAAGAGAAACAATTAATTTCAAATAACCAAATTTCCACTACAGTAAAGTCAGTTACCGAGAATGATGATACCAGATTGCTGTATGAAGACTCTCAGGAAAGTCACAGAGAAACAGATGCACAGTCCACCCAAGAATACCAGTCTCATCAATATGTTGACAGTGTTAGTACCACTATTCAGGAGAAACAACATAGACAGTTTAGTGAAAATACATATTCACAATCTTTGAGAAATAGTGAAAGTAATAATCTGCATTCCAGTGATGAAATATATTTGACACCAGAAGAACACAATCGAAGTGGTAGTAGCTCTTCATCATTTAAAACACCACAAGAATCACCAAGACAGAATCATTATTCTCACATTACTGTATCTAATACTGAGTTTCGGGGACCAACTTATTCAGAAAGTTTACCTATAACATCATCAAAATTTCGTAGTTCCAATGACAAAGACGTTTCTGAAAATGTTGATAATTTGAAATGGGAACTTGCCCGAAGAATAGCTAAACTGCAAAGTAGAGTACGCAGTTTGAGTGATTCTGCAATTAGTTCCGATTTCACTGATCAAGAAGCATCCATAAATCTTAGGAACACCTTCAACAGACAGTCCTCAAGATCATCTGGCCGTGGCTCTGGATTGATGAATACGCAATCGGTTGAACAATCCCTGCAAGAAATCAGTACATTTTTTGTTAATATGCCACCACACAGCTCTTCCTTATTATATACAGGCTTCTGCAGTGATATACCAAATAAATTAGCTAATGTTGTAATGGGTGACCATTCCTTAACTTCAAGTCCATCTACTAACAACTTGGCTTCCTTATTGAACACACATTCTTTTTCAAGATTACAAGGACGAAAATGGAGATCTTTTGGGGAACTCTCTGAATTATCAGGAGCAGAAGTGCTTAGATTATTTAAAGAGGATTTTGAGGCATCCCAAAATCGAATTTCGTTGTCTCATCATGATAAAAACGTTCCCATTCCCGTCACTGATTTGGATGCTGACTCAGATGTAGAAGAAAATTTGTACCAGTTCACTGAAGAAGAAAGGTATATTTCATGGACAGATGTTCAATATAGTGTGACTGAAGATTCTAGTCTTGATAATGTTGATTCTTCAAGTAAAAGAGAACAAATAAATGAACAAAAAATTAAAGTACCGTTAGATGAATCTCCTGAAAATCTTGATTTTTATTTGGGTAACATAGCTAATATCCAGGATGAATCAAGTGATGTGAACCATGCAAAGAGAAGATCTTTAGATAGAGGAGTCAACTGTTTGCCCGAAGATTTATTTGATGAAAGTAAACGCTATCTTCGACAGAAATCTCCATCCATGTCTGAGCTAGAGAATAGCGAACCTGTTGTAAAAGATTTTGAGAAAGCACATTCAACAGGATGTGTTGATATGCTTGATAGTCCTGTAAACTCCTCTGCTTCTTCTAATGATAGCATAACTTTTGTTTTTGTTGGAAATTCAGAAGAAAAAACAGACAGAACACACTCTAACCCAAATGTATCCCGGCCATCATCCAATACTTCCTCTGGTAGAAGGGGAAAGTCTGAAGGTCAACTTGCATTAATATGTCCAAACATAAAGGAGAAGGTGTTATTTCCAAAGCGTATGCAAAAGGCTGATCTGTCTATAGGAAATAGGGCTGTATCTACCAATAATTTATCTGAACGTCTTTCTGAAGAATTGAGAAGATCATATTCAACAAGTTTACTTGATGTAGTGACTGTAGAAGAACCTGACATTGAACCATTCCCTCCTTCTGGTAATGGTGAAGAAAGCATTGACGGTAGAACATCAGAAATAGTAACTGTGAAATCAAACAATATACAAGCAAGCCAAGCTGTTACTAAAAAACAAATCTTAAGGACTTTTAGTAGTCAATTTGGTCCATCTTGTGTATCTTCTACTGGCCAGGTACATTCAGAAACAACTGGCAAAGTTCCAAAGCATACAACATGTTACATTAAATCAACAGGAATGGAAACTAAGAGAGATGATAATGTTAGTATTTCAGATATTAGACAACAAACAACATTTTCTAACCAGAAAGCTCCAAAGGTTACCCTTGTTAATAGTGCTACTCAGATTGATGATCATCCCAGCGAAAATATCTCTTCACACATCTGCCAAGAATGGCAGAGTTACCAAGATGATATTTTTTCTGTTGATCTGTCGGATGAATCTGGTTTCCTGACTGATCTCAACTCAGTTCCATCCTCTGCACGGGACACACCTCAGTCCTGTCAGTCAAGCATAAGACATTTTTCAGGAAATACACAAGAGGATATGTTTACAGCATTTGGAAGTTTAAGGGGAACGGTAACCACACTTGTGAGTAGCTATACTCAAACAGAAAAAGAGAGCAGAGATATTGGTCAAGGAGTAAACTTAAATCATTCAAACTCAGAAACCCAGACTACTCCTCCTTTATCCCCTGAACTCAGGAGGAGACATTCTTCACGTACAACCGAAGTCCAGACAGAAAGGGATAATTTGAACCAAAACACACAAGAAGGTCCGTCAAACACTATGATATTGGCCGAGATTGTTGATTTAAAGAAAGAACACAATAAAATGATGGAGTTGTTGGGAAGATCACGGGATAGACCATCAAGACTGGAAATCTTAAATTCTTTGAAATCCCCGACATCTGATTCATCTGGCAGTATTTCCCCAATAACAGTTATAGATAAATTATCATCTTCAACTCGAGGACTATCGCCAAGCCATACAACAGCTTTGAGTTCCAATTTAATTGATGATGAATCACAAACTGAAATTAGACTGAATGATTCAATTGATAGGTTACATACACATGGAAGAAGTTATGCTTTACTAGATTCTAGTAGAAATGATAATAATTCCCAGAGAAGCTTTAACTCCTATTCTGAGTCACATAGTACCATTAACTCTTATTCTGAGTTAGCAAGTACTCGGAATCAGAGAGATGAAATTGGATGTTTGGATTATTCGGATACATTTGAAGATCAAAGTGGATCATCCAGCAGTAGATCTCAAGGTAGAAATTCAAATGATTCACTTGTTTATGTTCCAATTGGAACAGGTAACAGACGATATTTTGTAACAACTGCTATTGAAGCTGCAGACTCCTTAGAAAATCTTGAAGATTTTTCCCAGACGAAAGTAAAATATAATGCAGAAAAAAGCCAGTCTGGAGACAAGACTGCGGATACAGGATGCTTACAAGATCATCTGGATATGCTTCAACAAGAGCGAGTGGAAATAATAGATTTACTAAACCTAAACTATTTACCAGCCAGTTTAACTGTAGAACTTCTTGAAGCTAAATTGAATCACTGTATTGGCCAAACGGATGCTTTACTGCAATCTCTAGAAGACACCTGGAATGATGAAGAAATATTATCTAGACCAGTTCCTCCAGTTCAAAAGATCACAGAAATATCAAAAGAATACATTAATAAGTATCGTTCCGAACTTAGACAATCAAAGAGGGACTACACAGTGTTCAAGGAAGAGATGGAGAGGAAAGCATCAAAAGGAAGGGGAAGGAGAAAGTCAAGAACAAGTGATTTAATTAGGATGACTCGTAAATCCCAAATCGATGCTTTTAAATTGGAGAGAATGCGTGAACAACAATTGTATGAGAGAACGAGAAGTGCAAGCCCATTAATAACACCTCCTGCCTCACCAGCAAGGACACCTTCAACATTTGAACCCAGCTATCTCACCCCTAAACAGAGGATAGGTCATCTAGTCAGTTTACGAAAAAATATAGTTGAGTCATCAGAAGATGAAATGAGTGAACTACGACATGGTTCTTATTCGCCACATTATGCCGACAGATCTTACAGTCCTGATTATTATGCAACATACAGTCCCTCTCGAAGATCCTCTAGTTTAGGTTACAGTCAATCACACCATAGTCCCCAACCACCTTTTTCGATGTATAGTCCAGATGTAAGTTTAACACTGAATCTGTCGAACTCTCCACCACCTGGTCTAAGGACGTCTTCTAGAGATAGATCATCTGTTACTAATAGGTCTGAACATGGCAACAGAAGTCAGGATACATCAGCCTATATAAGTTTACCCTATCACCAGTACATGACCGAGGGTCTTGATCCATCAAGGCTGCTTCAGGAGTCTGCTGATGTCAGAAATCGTAATCTCCTTGAAATATCTAGAGCACATTCCTCACTGCAACAGACAAAGAGTCATTACACAACTTCATCTCCACTTCGAACAGCTAGGTTAGTTCTTTAAAATTTATATTTATTGAATTAAATCAAATTAATTGTACATAAACAAGTTGCCAAGTTGTAAGTCATAAGATCTGCCATTGAGTCAAACTTGAAGTAACAGGGAGTAGGGCTGCCCGTCGAACATTGTGGGTTTTCATCTGGTTCCTCCCACTGCTAAAGTATTGAAATAAAATAGAACCATATGTTAGTCCTAAAATGATCAGGTTTATGTCAAGTGGATGTTAAGCCTGTTTTGTCTCTCTCTAAAATGTTTTGTAACTGTAAACACGAAATTCATGTAACTCATTCTTTTTTAGCCCTAGTGTTAAACATTCAAGATCTGTACGAGAATATTCACCAGTAACGCCAAATCATGGTATCTCTAAAGATGACATAGATAAAGATATTGAAAACCTGAAGCACATTCAAAAGACAACTGCATTTGGGAATTCTTACTCAGAGAGGTAGGTTGCAATAATTATGATTAAAATCAGATGTCATGTTGTGTTTGTTTTTTTAAAATTTTATTGTACATTGATATCTTACTTATTTTCTTTGAAGACAGTATTCAAATCAATTGATCTTTATTGACTAACTAAATTGTCTGTATCAACATTTTGTAGTTCATATAAGTGTGGTTTGATAGCTTTAGCGACTGTTAAGTACCACTGATTAAAGTAAACAAAAAAGAGGGGGGACCTTTCGAGGCTATATCTGATCGTTAATGCCATCCCGTGCGAAAGTTCTTAATTAAAGTGTGAATCCATTTTTTCTCGTGTGTCCTTTCCAGTTAAAAGAGTTAGGAGTCTAGAGTCTATGCAAATAAGCATCTTCCGACTAACTGTTCACAATTTACGAAATTACTGTTCACAATTTACAGAATAATCGACTTTGGTGATACTGAACGACTCTAGTCCCTCTGTGAGGTCACAGTTACTCCGGTCCTCACTGACTATATGAAGAGGGCAGTCGCACATCCTTATTTAAGCCTGAAGAGTTCAAACTGAACGGAACTAGTTGCTTCTTGAGAGAAATCTGGGAAGGCTGTTGGCCAATTAGCAGATTTTTTTTACTACTGGTTAATGTAAGCCTACATAAAACTGCAATTGGCACTGGTGAAGAACTACCAGAATATTATGATGATAGAAAATTTGGATAGATTACAATTTTGTGTAGGCCTAATAATTAGAAAAAATAAATGAAGAAATGGAATTGTAATCCAGTTGGGTAGGTTAGTAATGGAATGATTTTATCAAAAGATTATAAATCATTTCAGGATTGAGAGCTAGATTAAAAAGATACATATCTCACAACAATAAAGACAATAGTACTACTACTACAGCCCTATAGGAGAGAAATACTATATATATTTTTCATTTCAGGAGTGTCTCACCTTCAACATCAGATATCAGTTCTATTTCCACTCCTTCTTATGCGGCTTATGCTAAAGATGTTTTAGCCAGAAGTGAACGGTCTATAACTAATACAACCCGTAGTAATAAATTCCCTGTCAGCTATACAGAGAGAGATTCATCACCTTCTTCTATTTATTCTGCTGATTTAGATTCGTTACCAGAATCTACATCAACTCCGCGAGACAATATGAGACCAATTAATTCTCAAGACATCAGAACCCGCATTGCACGTAGAAAAATGACAGAAAAGAAGAAGAGATCAACAGATAGAAAATAAGGAGAAATCCCATTGTCATTAGTAGAATTTTCTTTGGGTGAATGACCACTATTAATTTGGAAACATAGCCTTTGGTTCGGTTCAGTCAGCGATAAAGGTGATCTAATGTTTGATATTATAAGGTCTGTTATGTTCCTTCTGCCCTGCATTATTAGACTTTGAAATACAAATGTGACAACAATTATTTCAATCGTACATTGTTTATAAAAGACAGTGCTCGTGTGATGATTTCATTTCATGGTTAACTTGTTTAAAGGACTCGTAACAAGACATTGCGTAATATATTGTCAACAATTGGTTATTATAAAGTTAGTTTAAATTCCCTTTGTTTCCGTCCGAAGGGCTCAAACATCTTGCGTAAGGTGGATAACTCTTACAAGCGTTTGGTTTTCTGAACAAACTAACTTTGTTTATATATAAAACATTTGAGATAAAAATGATTTTGTTATCTATAAAGATTTATTATAAGTATATTTATAAAATACAAATGTGTTATATATTCTGGATCGACGGATTACACAATTTGTGTGTTAGACGAACGTTTGTAGTTTGGAAGAGATGGGAATATATTCAAAATAATTTCATATTATTGTTATTTTATTAAATAATTATAATTTATAAGAAACAAGATTTTAGATTATACAATCAAATGTAAGCATTGCTGTGATAGATTGTTCATGCGATATTTAACGTCCATTGTGCCAAATTGGGTTTTATTAAATGAAATTTTAATTGCACATAATGATTTCATCTCATTCAAACATACTGTACATGTATTTATTAAAGCCTAATGCAAATAAAGGCGTATTCATATAATCATTATCTATTTCATATTGTAAATATAAAGAGTTAATAAATTTCAAGTTAAATTAACTTATTTTTGATCACATTTAGTCATTCATTTACATTATGTATGTATAATTTTCATATAAGGCCTCCGTATTATTTTAGTGCATTGCATTAATAGGGCCAACATACTGGTGAAAACTTTCCGTCCCTTATTCTTGAAAGTATTCTTTTTATTCCATAGAGTTTATTCATCAGGGTCGTATTATTTAATTATGTCCTTGACTAAATGTATATAAAAATTTGTCTTTTTTTTTTTTAATTTCAAGCATAGACATAGAACTGGACTACATGTACCTATGTTGTTTTTTTATTTTACTTTTATTTTTATGCATTGACATAGATCTGTGGTCCTATAAGAATTTTGTTAAAGTTTGTGTAAATTTAAAGAAACTTGTCTCAATATATTTATTGTAATATAACTGGTATTATAGAATAGTCTTTTGTAAATCATCATTATTTTATCATATTTGTATTATAAAAATACTAAATTATATTAGAATACATTTATTTTCATTGAAAGATTATTGTGTGATTTGTATATAACGTAGGGCATGGCATGTAGCTGTGCATCATTTGTCACAGGGCTGTGTATTGCGACCAAAAATCATATAGCAATATATGAGAACTAGCAGGATACCCGGCTTCGCTCGGGGGTCATAACTCTGAAACCGGAAGTGGTAGACTAACGCCACCTGGCCTATGTTACTCCCCGGTCCGAGCTACCCCTATACCCCAAATTTCAGACTCGGGGCAGACCTAGTGTAGCCGCCAACTCCGAACAGACAGACAGACAGACACAAACGACAGTCACAAATATATATATAGATAGATAAATCTGAAGTTATCCTTTTCAGTACAAAAACGTGACTATAAAACCTAAAATTAAACATATTGAATTTCCACCAACAACAGATGTCAGTCATTTAGGCATATCGTTAGATAGTGTTTTGACCATGACAAGATAAGTTGATGACCTGTGTAGATAATACTGATAAACATCAGTTCCATCTGCCATGTTCTAACACAGGTTTCATTGATTCTATCCCGCCTTCATTATTGTAGTAGTGTTCCTTAAAGGCTCAATACCACTCTTGTTGTAGCTGAATAATATGTCCCAATCTTTATTCTGGTCAACAAATTGTACTATTTTAGAATATTTCAATTAATTGATGATACAAATTTCATCTTAACACACCTTTTTAAAAATTTTGAAAAATTCAACATAATGGTTTGAAACGTCTAACGTAAACATTTTCAAATGAAACTTCGATTTAAAAATATTTTCGAACCCTCTGGACAGGTAAAATAGGATGTAATGGATAATTTACACAACAGGTAGGACACTTAAACATCTAGTACTTAGATAGAGATATTATTTATTTTCTGGAGCTTTCAAGCCAGCAAGAGTGTTATTGTCCCTTTAAAAGCAACTAAATCGCACTCAGAGAATCTAAAATCTCACAGCAATAATGGTCACATGATCTTTATATCCTTGTCACATAACCACGTACAGTTCTCGAAACCCTTCTGTGATTACCAGTCAGTGTGCTCGGATAGATTTCAAGTACTAACATATCAGTGTATCAATGTACAAGCTCCTGATTGCCTCAGTGAATTAATTCAACAACAGTATATTCCGAAAAAACAGTTGTGTTCAAACAATCTCAATCAGCTAGTGATGTTGCGGAAAGTCTCATCAACACAATACTTTGCTCATTTCTGTGGTTGGTTGTGCAATGCAAAGAGGAGAATTTTTCATGGACAATGGTGTTCTACTATACTCTTCTTGACATTCAAACTCCAAGAAGTACACTGGTGAACCTCCAATTTAGCCTCATCTTAAGGGGAGCTAAATCGCTAATATTTGGGACCTAGAAATTGACCCAAATGGGTAGCAACGCATATAATAATGTAATCTGACTGTATATAAATCAATTTACATTCAATTGTTTCCGTTTTGACTCTAATTTCAAATCAGTTATGTTCTGCGAAATATGGCATGTGTCTCGACCCTATAGCAATTTATAGCGTCTGGTTATTCCAGTCTATTGAGCAGGCTCTCCAGTTGAATATGTCTAGCCTCGTTCTTTCTGGTCACTTGTTGCAAATGACGCAAAAACGCACTATGGTACACGATTCGTGTACCAATGGTAAAATGTTTATTTTGTCTTAAATATTGGATATCAGAAGCCTGTCTTTTCCTGGTAAGACCACAACATCAATGTTGATTTGAATTGACAAATAATTCGTATTTTCAAAGTGTAAGACTTTGGATGATATTGAGTTAGAGACTTAGCTACTTTAACTTTTCTTGTCAGCTACACCGGTGCTACCCTAACAAGTGATCATGTTTGATAGCTAACCTAAACCATATACTGTGTTCTGCAGAGTTCTGACAATGCGAATTCTATCATAGTCACAGTGGTTATAACCAAATAATCAATTTTTGGCTTATATTGGTTTAGATTTTACAAACACCATAATTCACCACAAAACACAATTCCTGTTTACCAATACATACTTTTCAACTTTTTTAGTACATGTTTTATTCATTCCTCTTATTTACTTGGTCACTCCATTAATAGATCAGAAATTTATTCAATGAGTACTAGTAAAATCAACTCAGTAGTTTGATAGATCAATCTGTATTCAATGAGTACTGGTATAACAGTTTAAACTCAACTAGTTAATAATCAAAAGTAGTTAATATATCCATCTATATTCAATGAGTAGGCTACTGGTATAACAGTTTAAAATCATCTCAGTGGTTAGTCAGTTGATCTGTATTCAGTAAGTACTAGATTAAAAGTTTGAAATCAACTCTGTGTAATTAATAGATCAATCTGTAATCAGGGAGAACTATACTCAGCCAAATTAAAAACTTGACACTGATGAATTTCAACAAAAAAATTTTTCTGGTAAGTCAAATAAATTTTAAAGTGTTTCTAACGATAGTAAGAAGCCTTTAATTTCATAAAATTGTAAAGTCACGTGGATCACGTGACTTTTGAGCATATAAAGATGAAAAACCAGAAAAACACGTGCAAACACAAACTCGTGAGGTCAATCGATGCAAGTTTACTTAAACTGAACACGCACACATCACTTGAACTGGAAAAACAAATTAAAATTGTTATTTTCATCTTTGTTAGAAAATGCCGCGCCTTTCAAATGTAGAACGTCTACGTGCTATAGGTAGGGTCTGTGCTGGTCAGTCTGTGGTCACTTTTGCAAGAGCCTTTAATTGTTCACGCCAGACAATAATTAATCTTAGAATGAGAGTGCTTCAAACTGGAACTATTGCCGACCGCCCAAGGGCGGGAGCGCCACGTGTGACGTTACTCCAGGAAGATCAAGCAATACGATTACGTCATCTTAGAAACATATTTGTCACTGCAACCTCCACAAGTAGAGAGATGTTTGGTGGAAGGGTAACTGCACAAACTGTTTGAAATAGCTTGCAGGCTGCTGGTCTTCGAGCTCGGAGGCCCTATAATGGACCAATATTGACACCTCTTCATCGCCGTAACCGACTTGTGTGGGCCACAAGACACATGAGATTTACTCAAAGACAGTGGAATTCGGTTGTCTTTATTTAAGGACGAATCTCGATTCACTTTTAGATTTGGCGATGGCAGGGTCCGAGTGTACCGCAGACGAGGTGAACGTTACGCTCAAGTATGCGTCAGAGAAGTTGACCGATTTGGTGGCGGCAGCGTCATGGTTTGGGGTTCTCCTCTTGTTGTTATCCAAGGGAACTTAAATGCTGTCCAGTACCGGGATCAGATTTTGCAACCTGTTCTTCTTCCGTTTATGCAGAGACATGGGCCTGGACTAACGTTTCAACAAGACAATGCTCGACCCCATACAGCAATTGCTACCCAGAATTTTTTAAGAAATGCCGGTGTCCAAGTCCTGGATTGGCCGTCGCTTAGCCCCGACCTTAATCCTATTGAACACATCTGGGACGAACTGGGTCGACGTGTACGTCAGCAAGTGAATCCACCACTGACGTTGCAGGACCTTCAACATACTCTTGCTGAGCAGTGGCGACGTCTTCCTCGGGTAGTGTTTACTAATGTTCTGAGATCCATGAGAAGACGTTGTGTGGCAGTACGAGACGCTAGAGGAGGCCACAACCGTTACTAAACACTTTATTCCGATTGTTCTCCAAGTCTGTGAATTTCATTTTAGGGGGTACTGTGACATCACGAACGTTATCAATGTCAAGGACTTTCGGCGAGACGTATTCTTGCTTTCTGTTGATGTCAAGGTCGTCTGTGCACAACATAACACTAAAATAGTTGCCTTAAACCAAATATTAAAAATCTAGTCCCAAAAATCCCGAGTGTCAAGTTTTTAATTTGGCTGAGTATATTATTACAGTTTAAAATCATCTCACTGGTTGGTAGATTACAGTCTGTATTTAGTGAATACTAGTATAACAGTTTACAATCAACCCATGGTAATAGATTAATCTGTATTCGGTAAGTACAACAGTTTAACATCAACTCAGTCTAGATTATTCGGGACAATTAAAATGGGTCTCTCACACTTTTTGGGACACAATAACTCTGCTTCTGAGCTAGAATGTTCAAACTTTGTGTAGGCCTTCATTTGATGATTGCCGTGATGGAGTTTGAAGATAAGCATTTTCTGCTTTGGGTAAGCAGAGATAAACAATTTGATTGGTTGATGCTGGAACACAATAACCTTAGTTAATATATTTATCTATATTCAATGAGTACTAGTTTAACTGTTTAAAATCATCTCAGTGGTTAGTCAGTTGATCTGTATTCAGTAAGTACTCGATTAACAGTTTGAAATCAACTCTGTGTAATTAATAGATCAATCTGTAATCAGTGAGAACTAGTATCACAGTTTAAAATCATCTCACTGGTTGGTAGATTACAGCCTGTATTTAGTGAATAGTAGTATAACAGTTTATAATCAACTCGGTCTAGGTAATAGATTAATCTGTATTCGGTAAGTATAACAGTTTAACATCAACTCAGTCTATATTATTCGGGACAATTAAAATGGGTTTGTCTGCCCGTCTGTCCGTCACACTTTTTGGGACATAATAACTCTGCTTCTGATCTAGAATGTTCAAACTTAGTGTAGGCGTTCATGAGGTGAATGCCTTGACGGAGTTCGAAGATGCGCATTTTCTGCTTAGGGCAAGCATAAATAAGCAAATTAATTAGTTGATGCTTTGGGACACAATGACTTTAGTTCTAATAAAGTAAGAGTGATGCAACTTTTTTTTTTGGTGTATAGTTTCATTACATCAGTGCCTTGACTAAGTTCGATGATGAACACATTCTACTAAGGCTAAGTAGCGATAAGCAATTTGGTCGAGACTTTAGAACTAACAACTCTGCTTTTAATTGAGGTAGATGTTCGTTAGGTGGATGTCTTAACTGAGTTCAGTGAATAACATTTCCCACTAAAGCTAAGCAGAGATAAGTAAAGCAATTTCATTGATAGATGCTTTGGGACAAGATAACTTTTATTCTAACTGACGGAGAGTGACGAAACTTAGCGTATAGTTTCACTTCCAGATAGGCTACTTCAAAGCCTTGACTGAGTTTGATCGAGAACATTTTATGCTCAGACTAACTATAGATAATCAGTTCGATTGCTCAACACTTTTGAAAAAGATAAATATGCAATTAATTAATATGTGTCAGCTATTTATTTTATGATTTCGGCGTGGGACATCAGCCTTACAGTTTGCTTGTTGCAATAATGGTATAGGCACTATGCCAATCGTACGCTCATGTGTTAATTTCATTTCATGTTTCAGTTGTTTAGAGGTATCGAACAAGATATTGCGTAATATTTTATTTTAAAAAAAAGACGCTGGCTAACGCCATGTGCAGAATCAATATGATACTTATTTCCTCACTGTCTACCTTCAAACCACATGTGATAATAATTGGTGGATATGGGGAAAACAGATTGAAGCTGGTCTACTCTTGTTAAAGCTATTACTGTCATGTATATCTTAGACTGCACAAATTTGAATTTTTGTCCTTAGGGAATACCTGTTAAAAAGATGGGTTTCCCAGGCAAAGAAACATACGCCCACAGCAGCCAAATCGTCCGCAAGGTGGACAATGTTTGTCGCATATTTATTCTTTTGTAGGTAATGGAAGCATTTACAAGACACTGATATCAATTCCATACAGATCGGAGGATACCTCTGCCATTAGAGCGCTCACAGGCAGTGGCGGCGCCAGGGGGGGGGGGGCATTTGCCCCCCCATTAATCTGGTCTGCCCTCTGTTTGCCCACACCCCCAATAATTTTAGAAAATAAAAAAAAGTATTTGCGATACGTTTCGGTAATCAATCAGGGTTCCCGCGGTCCTTGAAAATCCTTGAATATCCTTAAATTTAAAATTTCATTTTCAAGGTCTTGAATATCCTTGAATTTCGCGGAAATAGGAAAATATCCTTGAATTTCTGTTGAGATCCTTAATTTTGTTTCAAATGTCTTCAATTCCTTTTAAATATGAGATTATAACGATAGTTGGTAATGTTTTGGTTATTTTTAAGATGAAAAATTGTAACATTAGGCTAAAAAATGTCCATGTGAATCCTTGAATTTGACGTATATTTATCCTTGAATATCCTTGAAAAAATGTTTGACGAAGCCGCGGGAACCCTGTCAATACCTTCTACGGTGAATAAATCCCACATCCCCACTCAGTCATAAACTTGCATGTTGTTGAGCATTTCCGACAGTCTATTTTTCAAAATTTTCTTGGCGAGGTCCCCAATGGACTCGCTAATTTGGCGCTCACAAGGGGAATTCGTTGAGGTTCGCAAGTCCGTTCGTTTGACATTTTGTTCTCTAGTCGGATAAACTAGTGATCAGGCGACGAACGGTATCTGGGCAGATCTATTTATCTCGACGATCGGTGCCTGACAGAATACTGTTAGACAGCATTTCCGGCAGTCTATTTTTCAAAATTTTCTGAGGGAGGACTCCATACTTTGACGCTCGTGAGTGGGCTTCGTCGTGATTCGCAAGTCCATTCGTTTGACACTTTACCTCATCGATCAGTGCCTGAAATACTGCCAGGCTGCATTTCCGGCAACCTGTTTTTCAAAATATTCTGGGGGAGGCCCCCTACCCCTAGTTGAAGCTCGTGCCTTTGCCCCCTTAACCTTGGACTTTGCCCCAGCTTTGCCCCTCCAATCACCGACGGCTGGCGCCGCCACTGCTCACAGGGTTGAACAAAGTGGAGCAAAATTATGCTAAATCACTAAATATTAAAAGCCAAATAATTAAATATCGGAAAGGAACAAATCGATACAGTTTTACTGCCATTAATAGTGCTTGGAAAACTGTAGGAGAATCTTCAGCAGGGCCGGATTAACCTTGTGTGTGTGTGTGGGGGGGGGGGTGAGGGACAAGTCAATAGGGTGGGACTGAATTAAGAAAATAAGTGTATGGTCCAGAAACTTTTGAAAAATATATCCCATTTGGTGCATTCTGAGGTATATTCTCAGCGACTAACACAAGTTAAATAAAATAGAACTATCGAACATATTTTTGTAGCAGAACATCAGTTTCAGACTTAGTCAGCGTACGTATCCCAGATAGTCCCTTTTAAAGACAGTAACTATAAAAGCCTATATGAGACATATGTAGCCAAGAGTCTCAATTTTGACGATTTTGTCACGATTTGGAGGTGACCTTCAGATTTTCAAATCTAAATTAGAATCAGTCGGTCATCCAATCATACAATTTTCGTACTATCATTTTACAGCTTTGTATATTGTATACTGTTCTCTAGGGAGGTTTAAAGGGACTATCCCGATTGAACAGAGTCTCAAAAGTGAAAGTCTGAGTACGTATGAAACTTAAGGCCAAACTATAGAGGAATGGTGTATTTACCTTGTCTCAAAATTTCAGCTCAAAATATTGAGTCGTCAAAACTGCTTATCCTGACACGTAACCCTTTTAAGATTTCAGGTCAATTTTTTCGTTAGGTGACCTGATAATCGATTCCTGTTCCTTTAGAGGTCTATGCCCATGTGCTGTACTTGATAACGAAACTACACATTATTTTTATAAAATAAAAGTCTAGTTTTATCCAGACGCCGCATAATACAGCTTGGGACACCGTTCTCCATTTCCAGATGAAGATTGACGGGTTTAAGTTGTTTAAAAACGTATCACATATGTTGAGTTAGTTGCTCGACCAGATGGTAGAGAATTTTAAGGGATTTTAACACAAAATTAAGCAGTTTTTTTCTAAAAAGTATAATCGGGATTGGCCCTTTAAAGATTAAGAAAAGAAGGAAAGTAATTATGAGTTTAACAAAACCGACTATTAATCCGTATATCAGGGTACATGGGATTTACGAGAATATAAGATATTAACGGGAACACAGTTGCACATGCATTTAATTCAATTCAATATTTAGTATGAAACACAATTGTTTGTGACTGTCATGATACAATACAAAGTATAAAACAGAATAAAACAAATCGAATGTCAAATGAGAAACATAAAATAAAAGGAACCACTAGGTCTCGACTGAACATCAAATGTAAAAAGAATAACATTAAGTAAGTATATAATTTAATTTGATGGCCATGCCCAGTTTAGGGAATATTAATCACCTATATATACAAAAAGAAAGAAACAATCATAAAAATGTTTTGTTTTTATTCAAAATACGGGTTGTCTTGGGTAAAGTTGTTTTCGGTTATTTTGAGTAAATCTATGGACCATGCCCATACATGACTATTGCCGTAAGTAACCTGTAGTTCTCAAGAAAGTTATGAAATCTGCTACAACTGCCACCTTGGTTAAAGTTGGTGAATTTAACAATGAGGCGACCACGTGGCTATGTGGGTATCAGGAGGTCGGGTGTTCGATCCCTGCATTGGCCAGAAACTTCATCCAGATTTTCCGGCGTGGTTCCCCCTTGTCAGGACGAAGGGCCTGACAAGGACAGCTGTCGAGTCGTTCGGAGGTAACGAAAAACCCAGGCGTACACGTAAAAGATCCCTTGACAGTTGAAATTCGATATACGAGTAGGCCGTAGTGCCGCTGTCCGGGCAAAATTTCCCTCATAGCACACTGTATGGCGTATGCCCGTCTTCATTAGCCCAGTTCGGAGCAGAACAGTAGGACGTTAAACCATATTTCATTTCATTTCATTTTCGTTAGTTGTGGTCTACATCCTGTTGATGTGGGATAACTCTACATAGGTTGGACTGGATATTCAAAATAAAAACAGCGATGGCGACGGAAGAAGTAAAACCAGAACAAGTACTCTTGAATACAGTTGCGGTTAGTTATTTCTCACTCTGGCTGATTGTTAAATTATTCCAGAATTTATCAACAGAAAACTTTTTTTTATATATTCATTTGTTCATATAATTATAGATCATCGTGACCCTTTATCTATCCCATATTATGACTCATGTCATGATGTGAAACGTAACTAAACATTGACGTACTGTTTAATGATTAGTTACAGTGTGTTAGATTCTGTCTGATTGCTTATAATTCATTGGGTTAGTAATTGGCGTAGTTTGTTAAATCATAGATAATACAGTATTAATTATCTGTGGTTAAATGAAAGAAAACAAAACACTTGTATTATGGGGATAATGTCAAGATAAATATCGGTATCATACATCACAACCACCAACAACAAATTATCTTGCAATCATTTTATTAGACATCGTAATCAACTTTCAGAAGTAGGCTCGTAACCAACTTATGTTTATAGCCTAATATATCGTGTCAAACCTCCATTTGATTTTGACAGCGAAATAACAAATTTATCAGTACACATCACCTTTTAAAAACTTACAAGATGACTTTGGTCGGAAAGTTGTTTACACCATGTCTTAACAGCTCTAGGTTACGTGATAATTTGGTAATACTGAACATAGACGGGTATCGTAACTTTGGAAGCAAAGCCTTGTTCCTTTCAAACCTAAAAACTAAAATATTTGAAGAAAACAGACTGTTCACTGTTAAATTGTTTAATGATTCTATGCTACATAGCTTTAATTAATGAATGTATACAAAGAATTACGACAAAACATTTTGATTAATGTTTCATGATAAATTATGTACACGTATTAATTATTGTAGACTATGTTTTTAATTTTGTCAGCGGCCAGAATTTACCAACATATCATTAGAAGGAGATTTAAAGCCTGTTAAGAAAAAGGTTCCAAGAAGAATTATCCACTTTAGTGATGGCACATTAGAAGAATATTCTACAGATGAAGATGAAGAGAAACCACCACCTAAACCAACTGTTGATCCTGTGAGGAAATTATTCACTTTCATGAAACTTATTTATAAATTCAACTGATTATTATATTTACAGCTGTTTCTGTATAGTGTATACAGTTCATGCAATTTCTTATTGATACCATACACAAAATCGATTCAAGGTTATGTTTGCTCTCAACCAAACGTAAGACGTACAAGAATCTCCATGACCTTTTGATACACTGTATACAAATTCTGCATTGTTTTGTGCAGACTATACATATTTCAATAGCATTTAGAGACGCTAGTCGAAACGTCGCTCAGTAATAAAGATTCAATTGTGACCCTGTTTTCATGTTAAAATTGAGACAGTATAGGCTGAAATGGTCAAGACCAAGATAATCAATTCTACATATTTAAAATACAATTATAAGACGTACAAGAATCTCTATATGACCTTTGACAATTGATACAACTTTAATACTATTCTGTCCAGACAATATTCATGGTTTTCAAAATGGAATAATAAAGACATTGATATTCCAGACAGTTTTTTTATTTATTTAAATTGTTTTTTGGGGTTTTTTTTGCAGAAAACATTGACTTGGTTACCATGGTTTTGGCACTATTTTGTCGTGAGTGCAGCTTCAGCATTAGGAGGTAATGTATTCTAGGATAAATGGAATTAAATCTTTTTACAATAAACATAGGTTACCAGGCAACTCAATTTTTATGATGATAAACATTTTCTTGAAGTGGTTTGACGATATACATTTTAGAGAACAAAATAAAAAGGGATAAAATGACCTTCAAAGGAGAATAAGATAATTACATGTAAAAGGATTATTAAGAAGCTTCTACTGGCTTCATTCCATCTCCCTGGTCTGGGATTAGATGAATTATTTTGTGGCCATTTCCTGATTGTGTAAGCAAACATATACACAATAGAGTATCTGCAGAAACTCTGCAATCATCAGTTTCGACAGGCTTATACTATACCAATTAATCACAGCAAGTTTTAGTGACAAGGTCAAAAACTCAGGGCCGCTGGACAAAATTTTTATTTAGGAAATTATTTGTGCATTTTATGAAGATTTATTATCTCAGAATGCATGGTACGCTTTTATATTTCTAGTGGCAGATTTTTGTGGAGAAAAATTAGCTTGGTTTTTTGGTATAACTTCCCCTAAATATCAACATGCAATAGATGAATATTATAGACTTAAAGAAGAGGTGACTACTTAAATTTTATTACGATATAAATAAATATGATCTATCAGTAATGTGATGCGTCAACAATCAACATATATCTTCAGATCTATATTCTTATTGGAATGTTATTTTGTAACAGTGTTAAAAACATCCAGGGATTACAGTGTTATTGTTGAAAATCAGGAGAGTAACAAACCAGTGTAATTTAATATCCAAATACATTGCAAATAGTAACTGATCATGTATTTACTGTAGTTTACCATCTTAAATACCTCATTTAGACGATTGGTATCTAGAGACATTTGATTTTTCTACTTTGTATACTATGCTTCAACATGCAGATCTTAAAGATAATACGGATTGGTTTGTAGATAAAGCCTTTAATGGAGCTTTCGGGAAAGGCAGAAACTTGATGGCCATTTATGCAGAAGATGCTAAATGGATTATAAAACGTTGTAATGTCGACACTGTAGTTTTTGATATAGAAAAATTTCAAAACATCATACATTTCCTCATTGACAATGCCATATTTGAGGTTGGGGATCAGATAATACAGCAAACTATTGGTTTACCAATGGGAACTGACCCTGCCCCATTTATGGCAAATGCACATTTATATAAATATGAATTCGATTTTCAAGACCATAAAAGAAAAACAGATTACAAAGTAGCTAAAAGTCTAAACTATACCTTCCGATACATTGATGACTTAACACCTATCAATGATAACGGAAATTTCAACAAATATAAAAGTGAAATATATCCTCCTGAACTAATATTAAAAAAAGAAAATTCTGACACTATAAATGCATCTGTTCTTGACCTGGACATCAATATAATTAACAATAAATTTAATGTTGGTATATAACCGACTACATATTGGATAATGATCCAAGTCAAATTTTATTTTAAATTTTCTGTAGTTACCTAACCCTGTCTGAATTATCCCCCTTATTTTCATGCCTTTATAAATACACTTACATAGTACGATTTCTTCAGCATACCTGTTTTGCATTTCTTGTGTGGGGTATTATATTAATATATTATAAATTGTACAATTACATAACTTAATAATTCCAATTAGTCACTAAAACTTATAGTTTATTAAGCTTTTAACGTTATTTTATCTGTATTATCGCCCTTTTTATTGTGATTTTTTATCACCTAAGTTATGACGTTGTTCCCAAAATAACGTCACTCCATTCAGTTAGGAGACGGCTATCTTTCGAGACAGTCTACTTTTCCTATTTGCTTCTTTGTATTCAGTTTTGATTTGTGACAGATGGAACATGTACCCTATATGTATTCAATATATCCACTGAATACTGAAATGTTTCTTGATTGTTTTAGGTTTAGACTATTTTTTTATACATTTCACTGATGTGATTACTTGTGTAGTTGAATTTTACTACATATGCTTGCATTCGTATTTCTTGTAGCATATAGCAGATCATGACTCATGCTGGCATTACACAATGGTTTCTTTGGGTTGTATTCCTGATTGTTTTCAAATTTGAGTGAAGTCTGTTTCACTACAGACCCGAAACTGTACAGCGCTGTGGACGCTTACGGCTTGCCCCCGGATCCATTCACCCTTTTGAATTGTTTGCTTGTTTGTGTTTTTCTGAGTATGATGTCTTGTCCGTGTTTTTGGCTAAATTTTGTGTGGTGCAGTCCCCCTACACTCACTATTTGAGCTCGGTAAAAATAAAGTATTCAATTGTTTTTATCTGTTATATGAAATATTTGTTTTTAAAGATTAAGCCAAAGTCGAGTTTGTTTATAAATTGTAATTTAATTTTTGTCTTGCTGTTTAGACAATTGAACAAACAATCAATAATACATTGACTCTATCTCTACTGAATGTAAAATTGTCATGCCACCAAACAAATCAACATATCAAATCCAGTGAAATTGATAATTATATTTTTTTGACCAAATACAAATAGTTCTAGTCATTTTAAAATAGAAACTTGTAATTTTCATAATTCGTTCTTTACAGGATGAAGCAGAAAAACGTAGAACTGAAAAGTATGAAGGATCAACTCCAGATTTGTCCAGTATTAATGTAGAGAAAAGTGGGGATTCAAAAACTCCTACAATGCCGCCTTCACCCTCAAAAATAGGAGTAAACAAACAAGAATATCAAAAATATTAATACTTTCTGAGATTATTTTATCGTGGTGTGCATGTGTGATATAAACAATTGTTTTATGCGCCAATATTTTAAGGTGGTCATTTTTGTCCACAATTACTATTAACAACATGGAGGAAATAATTACTTGAAATTTTGAGAAAACAAAGATTATTTGTCCGCGATAAATTATATAATCCAAAGATTGTCCCTGTTGATTAATCTGCAATCTGGTGCTACTTTAATGCTGACACCCATTTAGGTTGCGAAATATATTTACAAAACTACACTGACGAAATATCTGTAGCAGCAAGTCTGTGTGGTGAGCACTGCATATTTTGTTGGACAATATGTTGTTCAAAATTAAATACATTTATTTTCTTTGGTGAAAATAATAATGGATCTTCAAACCAGAAATCCCAGAGTAGATCTATTTCCATGTTAAGATTTCTAATTACTCTGTCTTACTATTAAAAAAATGGCAAGACTGTGACAATTTACCATTGCAGCTTAGACCATGAAGTTACTGGTGGGTGCATCTTATGTTGCTTAATAAACTGTGTTTTTAATTATGCAAAACTTCTCTTGACAAAGTATTATATTATAATCAGTGGGGGGACTTTTTACTTGTGTTCTGTTTTGTGGGTTTTTATTGTGTCTGAAATTATTTAACATTCCATTTCAAAATTTGTATGAATGTGAGCGAGTGAATAAAAGTATTATTGACAAAAATATTCATGTTTGCATTGTTTCTAGTCTTGGCTACATAAATAGGTACATATGCAAGTTCAGTAGTGTTATATGTACACTGAGTAATCAGCATCATAGGCGTACGGGGAAATTTTTGACTGAGGGGGGGGGGGGGGCGGTGGTGGTTGGTGCCCAGCTCGTACGCCTCTGATCAGGATTTTAAATGTTAACCCTGAAAGTTAAAAGTTCAACAAAAACTATGATAGGTATATACATTGCATGACATCAATAATGTATTAGAATCTCAGGTAATAATTTTTCATGCAGTTTTTAAAATTTGAGACTAGGCCTATTTGTACTGTACTGTGTTTGAATGACAATGAAGTAAGCATGTTTTCATAGTGTTCTTCTGATTCTGTGTGTTGGATTTAGACATGGTGTGGCTCTTGGACATTTAAAGCTTGGAGGACGCTTGTAAACCTAAACACCTAACATTGAAATTTAGGCTTTAAGTTAAAACTTATTAATTACCGGTACATATAAATATAAAGCCGTTTGAAATCTACTCATAAAAAATTCTACACAAGCCATTTAAAAAACTGCAGTAATGATTTAAAAGCAAAATAAAAAATCTTAAATTGTGAGCTCCCTGTGAATTGTAAGGCCCTCAAATGTAGATTGCTTAGCTTATGTCTAAATCTGGCACTGGTGATTGTCCATGTAAATAATATGTTTCTATTTATTTATGACTAATAAAATATATTACATTGTACTATGTATTGTACTGTGTTTTCTTTTACTTGTAATTTAACAATTCGCAATGACAAATAAATGCAGGCCAGTTTGTCTAATTAACTATTAGTACTACTAAAACGTCTCATTCCAAGTGTGACAGTTATAGTAGGCAGTGCAGAACACATATGCAGAGAAAATACACAAATGACAATAAAAATGAAATTTTATACTCGCCTGATATTTTTGGAATAGAAGTCGATTTCTCAATCCTCTTTCATGTCCTACGGGTGTCTGAAACCCGTCTGCTGATTCAATGAAATATATGTAGAGTTGTCCCCCTTGTATCAATATTAGAGAAAAGTAACACGTCTTTTATTTTAAAGGGGTATGGTGGGCTGTTCAGTACAATTTTTCCTCTGTTGTCCGAAAAACATCCCACATCATAAATAATAAAACTGCCGGAAAAATCTTATAATTCGTCTGGTAATGCCTTTTTTGTTCAAGGTTCAAGAAATCATATCACCGGACATTCATTGAGGGATGGGGTCCGTAGTGGGGGCTCGAGAATATTTCGTCTACCAGAAATATTTTATAGGGACATTTTAGATTTATTAGAAATCTAGCCGGGCAATATTATGTGGGATATAGAAGGTCAGAATGATAGATCCACAAATGCCTGGCGCACTTGTCTGGCCAATGATAATGTATAACGTGCGTAAATACATGAGATACGTCCTTGTGCCTGCCATTCTAATCATTTTAAAACCAATCGATAGCCCCACTTGTGTATATCTTCGTTTATGATATGTAGATATTTATTTTGTAGAGTAATTTTCAGAGATCCAGTTTGTGTTCATTGCGTGTCATGAAAATGAACTGTCGAAGGTGAAATGTCGATTTTTATTTCTTTGGAAAGACAATTGATTAATCAATCGATTATGTAGGGTGTTTCAGTCACTGAATTTTTGTGATAATTTTGAAAAAAAAAAAGATTAGAAGGAAGGAATAAAAACAAAGCAGGGTCTTTCTTTCTGCACCGAAATAAATGAAATGAAATGGGGTTTAACGTCCTACTGTTCTGCTCCGACTAGCATCAAAATAATCATAAAACATGCCTGGGAGAGAGAAATGAAATGAAATAGGGTTTAACGTCCACCTTTCTGCATCAACTGGACTAATGAAGACGTACATGATGCCAGGCCCTCGTAGCCAGCTTGCTGACTGTGGGGTGGGGGGGGGGGGCACAGTCTACAGTAGGTATTTTAGAGCTATGCGCATGGTCGGCAACTCTTTTTTTCGGGGGTGGGGGGGCGCATAACACTAATTTAGCCCTCACCCCTCCCCCGGCTACGGGCCTGGGCCATGTAGTGTGCTTTGGAGGAATTTTGTCCGGCGTGACAACAAGGACCACGTTGGAGACGCTTGTATATTCAATTCCGTGTAAATGCGCGTTCCATACATATCTATTTATTTTGCAAAGGGCATATTATCTGTTATTGTTATTAGCCCTACTGTACTGTAAATTCAACTGAATTAAATCTTCCATATATCATAAAAGTTCAATTTATTTACCAGGAAAACCCATAAAATAAGTAATTTAGACTTAGCTATCATATTGCTTCTATCGGGGCTCTACTGTACCAGCAGATTGTTGAGAGGATTTATTGAAACAAGCGTATAAGCCTAGAAATACGCAGATAATGGTTAGGCGGGGCCCCTAAAAGCCCCTATACTGATCCCTGGATATATTGAGAGACCCGCTGTTTTGAGGGTCACGATTAGTTAAATGAACCATCGATCTTTATTTCACTTCGGTGGTATCTACAGGGGCGGCTAGGAATTTTGAAAAGGGGGGATGGGCGCCGCAAAATGAGGGCACTGCAGACCGCGGAGACGGGGCATGGCGCTGAGAGGGGGTGGGGGTACCCCCAAGAAAATTATCCGTCATTTCCTTGCATCTGTAGCCATTCCATGAGCTATTTAATTGGCTGATATTTTCGTCTAAGTAAACGTTCGGAAATCGTTGAAAAAGAGCCTTAAAATTGAGCAAAAAGCCAGTTGAACATGCGACTCGAAAATAGTCAAGGCGAGCGAGGCATTATGATGGGAAAACGAATCTATTCCCTAGCCACTTCGCTTTTTAAGCCTTGTAACTTGTGCTGTGTACTGTCCACACATGAAACAATGCTACATCAAGTTGCACTCATGCGCGTCGGTGATGGGCATGAGTGTATACGCCGCCGATTCCATAAGATGCTATCATTGATGTCTGTCTGTAGTCACTCTATATAATTAGAGCACCGTCAGCTAAACAACAAGAATTCGTTTGAAAGTGGAAGCATTAATTAAACCAGACTGGTGTGTTTGAGTCGATGGTTTGAGTTATTTGGGATTCCTGCAACAGGTTGGGAACGGACATATTTGGGTCTGAGTAAAGGCACTTCTAGTAGTAAAAAAGGGCGCTGTCGAAAATTAGGGGAGATCCGCCTCTGATCTATGACAGACTGTGTACCCAATCCATCAAATAATTCACTGCTATCATTTATGACCAGTTGAAATAATGGTTGCCATGCAAGATACGCCCACATTTTGCAAAAGAAATGTGTATGGGGAAGAGGTAAAATCAATAAGGCTCATCATCTCATTCAAGACCTTTTGATCCTTAACATATTTGTTAAGTTTTCTCCGAATGTTACAACAATTGTACACCTCTGGCTGGAGTATGGCGGGGTATCAGGTTCAAAATGCTTTTTATTTTCTACTTTCTACTGCAGATCGCATTTTGAACCTGATACCCCGCCATACTGGAGGACCTACAAAATTCATTGAATGTACGATGATATTTCGTACAATCGAGAAAGGTAAGGATAGGGCTAACCACGTCGATTCCGCCAAGTATCAGAACTTGACTTCTTCTCCCCCCCCCCCTCTCCGCCAATTTTTTGTTTAAATAACTGGGTTTACGATAACTTGGTCATAAAAATAAGGTCTATAATTATATACATACTCTTCAAAAAAAGTAGGGGATATTCAGAAACAATACAAAACTGCGGAAATGCACTGCTATTTTTATTAGAGGTAACCAGTGTATGTTAATAACAGGCCAATTGCCTACACATGAAAATAAACAGTTCATATGGGCGGCTTATCTGACGGTCCCATTTCACTCGCAAAGAGATACACCGTCAACAGTGAAGATGGACGTTTTTGATTTTTGTTTTAATCATCAGACATTTAGCAACTCGTCGTGGCATGCTTCTAATGAACCGCCCAATCACGATTTGGGGCAATCTGACCCACTCCTCTTGCAGAGCCACGGTCAATTCTTGCATTGTTGTCGGTTAACGTTGACGTTTCCCGATCAAATTAAACGTAACACACTAAAGCAAAGATATGCTAAACAGTAAATCTTATGCAAGAACCGATAGGAAAGCAAACATGGATAGATAAATCAGCACGCGACAGTTTTCATCACCCTGAGGTGTCAAATTTGACAATGAACCCCACCCACGTGTATGGCGCTATTGCGTATCGCATTTGCAGCTCAGCGGTTCTGTTGGGGTGATAAGTTCTTCATCTGTGAACATACTCTCAAGGCATGTCAAATGTCCATGAATATTCATTATATCGCAACCTGCATAGGTATTTGTATTTCAATATCCCCTACTTTTTTTGAAGAGTATATATAGATCGAGAAAAGTAGGGATAGAGCTAACCACGTGGATTCCGCCAGTATCAAATCTTGACCTCCGCCCGTTCGTTCGTTCGTTCCTAGAGTTTTACGTCCACTTCCACCATGGTTGATATCGTAGACAATAGAGTTTTACGTCCACTTCCACCATGGTTGATATCGTAGACAATACCTCTCCCCCCCCCCCCTCAATTTTTTAAATTCTTGGGTTTACGGTAGTCTCGGTCACCCAAAACCTCTTAGTCTTCAACGTAAGGTAGAATATTTTCTGGATGATAGAGACTAGGGTCTAATCTGAATATAAAGACTCGTTAACATTGTCAACTTCATCCTATAAAACATCCATATAATCAATTAAATATCAAAACATGACTTCGTACAGAGGTGTAAATTTGGGGGCGGGGTGGGGGGGTGGCGTCGATAGTCGGTCGCAAAATAAGTGCAGTCGGTTTCAAAATTATGCATAGGCTACTAAATGAATTAATGGGGTTAACAAACAATCCAATATGGAAGAGAAAAATCCCAAATAATGTATTTGCGTGAATTCGTGCACTTGCATACATGTACGTCACGCAACTCACGCAAAACTATAGTATAAAATAAATTTGTCAACTTGCCATGTTTGAAAAAATGTGTTTCGCTCTTATTCTGTTGTGCTTATGTTGCCATGTTGGTCTAAGAAATGTTTTTCCCCCGATGGAAAAAATTAGTCGGTCTCAAAATAAGAGCTCACTGCAGTCGATCTCAGATTAAATGTATTAATGAGAGAGAGAGAGAGAGAGAGAGAGAGGGTTTAACGTCCACTCGACACAAACATTTCGGGACTAACACATGGTTCAATTTTTTTATTTCAATAATTCGCTTGCGTGTAGGGGTCTTTAACAGTGGGAGGAAACCGGAGGACCCAGAAAAAATCCACGAGGTTGGACAGGCGACCCTAGTCCTTGTCACGTACAACCGGGGAATCGAAACCCCACCAGTTGACTCAATGACAGACCGAACGATACAGCGCGCAGGTGCTAACCATTCGGCCATCCAACCCCCCCATGTATTAAAGAGGTAAAAAAGCAATGCCAAACTATAGAAGGAAAAATCCTACGTACTTAATATATGTATTTGAGTGAATCAGTGCACCTAAATTGCATACGTCACGCTATAATACTGTAGTATAAAATAACCTTGTCAACTAACATTGTTTGAAAAAATGTTTTTCACTCTTATTCTGTTGTGAGTATGTTGGTCTAAAAAAATTTCCCCAGGTAGAAAAATAGTCGGTATCAAAATAAGTGCAGTCACTGCAGTCTGTCTCAAAATTATGCATCCCCGAGTCAATGAATTAATGAGGTAAACAAACAATGCCAGAATAGAAGTAAAAAATCTCAAATACTGAATAAATGTATTTGCGTGAATCCGTGAACCTAAATTGCATACGTCACACAAAACTATAGTAAAAAAAAACCTGTCAACTTGTCATGTTTGAAAAAAATGTTATTCACTCTGTTGGGAGGGGAGGAACGTCACGGTGGCTAAGTAGGTAAGCGCTGGCTAGCTAGACTGGAGGTCGGGTGTTCGATCCCTGCCTTGGCCGAGAAAGTTCTTTCAGATTTTCAGGAGTGGTTCCTTCCTTGTCAGTGATGCAGGATGGAGGGCCTGACAAGGACAGCTGCCTAGTTGTTCGGATGGGACGAAAAGCCGGGGTCTCTTGTACACATCGACGTGCACGTAAAAGATCCATTGAAAGTTGGAATTCGGTATAAGAGTAGGCCGTAGTGCCGCTGTCTGGGCAAAATTTCCCTCATATAGCATGTATGGCGTATGCCCGTCTTCATTAGCCCTGTTCGAAGCAGAACAGTAGGACATTAATTTAAACCCTATTTCATTTCACTTATTCTGTTGTGAGTATGTTGGTCTAAGAAATGTTTTCCCCCGAAGCAAAAACAAATGGTCGGTCTCACATTAAGTGCTCACTCCAGTCTATCTCAGACTAAATGAATTATTGAGGTGAACAAAGAATGCCAAAAGAGAGGGGGGGGGGATTCTTAATATAATATATGTATTTGGGTGAATCCGTGCACATGCAACGGTTAAAATAACCTAACCTAACCTAGAGCTTGTTACGAAGATTTTGATATTTGAAAATATATTCTTGATTGTCATACGAATAACATTGGTGGAACAGTTGGCAAGAAGTTATCGAAAGGCGGAAGCATATTTTTATCTTTTGGATTGGTAAAAGAGAAGGCGTGTTTGTTTCAGAAATACGTAACAAATCTTTTAATTATGAAATGTAGACGGTCTTCGTACATGAAAAGGGTAGGCCTACCGTTTTATCAGTTCCTTTCAATATTTACTTTAAAAGTTATATATATGCGAAACATATGACGTAACTATCCGTTTGTTTAAATGTTTCAGTATAAATTATATAATATAAACTCTATTTTGGGTATTGCTTTGAGTGGGTATTTCCCAGCGAGTTACTCTAATTCGAGGGATTATACCCAGAATGTCTAAGATTACTGCACACCCTGTCCTCATGGGCGTCACACACGGGGGGGGGGGGGGGTCCAGGGTGGGGGGCGATCCCCCCAATTGTTTTTCTGGGGGATGGCTGAATATACTTACCCCCCCCCCCAAAAAAAAAAAACAAAAACAAAAAAACAAAAAAAAACAAGAAAAACAAACAATTATTAGGATTAGTTAAGATTCTATCTGTATAAAACAATGTACAAATTAAAACACAAACACTAATGTTTACTTTTTGAAATCCATTTATAATACACAAAATGTACAAAATATCTATAAATGTCAATGTAGTATTGTAGTTAACAATGTGATTGTCAAATATGCATCCTCATAAACTAAAGTTATGTGATCAAGTTTTGTTTCATTTGGATCCTAATAAAAATTCCCCTACTAAACTCTCTTTGTCGTGTTGTTCATAACTCAATCGTAACATTCAATATGTAAAAGTCATGAAAAAAATATGAATACGGCACCCCCTGACTTAAACATGATAAACATTGTATTGGTATGATGTTTTAGTTTAACCCCGTAAAATATGCCAAAACAGTGTTTACAGAAGACTGAAACTTCAAATTTTTTTTATTGGGGTTGCCCCCCCCCACTCTCCCTATCACGCTACATGGGCTGCTGCGCAGCCTCGGGCCCACGGCGTCACAGATTGTCAACATTTCATATAATTTCATTGGCGGACCCCGCAAATATATATTTCACGGCTATGCATTGCCTGTCCTGTCATTGTTTACTGTCATTTATTTACTAACATTTCTAGCTTAAAGTTACAATTTCATATTTTCTAAGAAAGTCAAAACATAATTATTTCTTTGTCTTTTGCTCAATAGGTTGTCAACTCACTATTATACGATCATAGGTGTCATTCTCACACTTAAAACTCATTTACACCGGAAATAATAACACAATTACCTCTCAATTACCTCCCTTGTTTTCTATTCTCCATCATGGAGTAGCTATCTTCAAACGTTGGAATTTGAAGATGAAAATGATATTTTGCCAATTTCTCAACTGGCAATAGTGAATTATAGGATTAATAGGATTATTCTTTAAAAAAAAGTAGGACTGTTTATAGATACCATCTATTTTAAGGCTTTATTTTAATAAATTTTAAAAATATAACTTAAAAATATGAAATTGCAACTTTAATTTCAAACAATAATGATAGGCTAATTGATGCTTTAGTCAATTTCGAAATGTCAGTGTTGAAATTTGTCTGCAAGTGCAACACCATAAAAACGGCCGGGTATCCTGAAACACAGGTATTTTTATTTGCCTAACGTATCGTTCTCTCACAAAGTATTGTGTAGTCTAATATTTTCAAAAAGTATCAATATCGTACGATCAATAAATACCCGGAATGAAATTAAATTGAACATATTGTTTTTTTATACTGACTGATATAATACAAATGTGCACATCTCAATTATTCATCCTATAATGGCCTTTCGTCGTGCATCATTGAAAAATTCCCGAGATATTTTCACGGCCAACACCGGGAACGGGACCCGGATCTCCTGGTTAGTGAATCAGCATATATAGACAGCATCTGGTTCACTCCTTTCGACTACGTCCTATTACTATAAACACCCCATTTCGACTACAAATTGTATTACCCTCAAAATCCTGACCCCCAACTAATCAACTGGAGAGGGTAAGTAGGGATAATAAAACCACCAAAACATATAAACAACACTTAACTGTGGTGTGTGCAGCACCGTCGTTGAGAGCTCACTAATAGCATATAACGGTAGTACATAGTAATCACGTTTAGCACTAGCAGAGCTACGGTATAATGTCGGGTTATAACCATTAAATAATAGGCCACTGTGGTTTTGTTTTCGTTTTGCAAAATGTCACGTAAAGATAACGTTCATTTGAAACAGTGGTGGTCACATTATCAGTATTTTTGAGTGACGACAATGGGATTACGCATTCTGTTATTTACAAAAACAACCACTATCTGTGAACATGTATTATCAATACCATTGATACAATCAACTTTCTTTATATGTCCGTGTTTCCCATATATGGTATCCCCGTACGTACAGCAGCATCCAATCAAACATCTCGCACTTACCGTTAGTAGATAGTGATTGGTTGTAATCGGGATCAAGTCCACGACATACCTCTTACCAAAATATCACACAAATGTGTATCACTCCACATTTGTTTGGCGAACTGCATAAGAATTTTTTTTATATTTTTGAGAATCCTTGTAGCATTAAATTAAATAAATAGTCAAATACTTTGAGGATTAAACCCTTATAGCAGCAATTTTAGGACTTTACCCATACGGACTATTTTCTGCGTGCTGCCTAATATGGGATGTGGTTAGGTGATCATTGCCGTTTATGGCGACTGTGAGAATAAGGTAGTGAGTGTTGTGTAAATTATTCCTTAGGCGAAACACGATGCAGAATTCGTCAATTATCGATATAACATCTAACAACAATGGCAGTCAGCTCATTGGAACTGAAAATCTGAATGGCAACCGACTGAATGACCGCAGTGGCTTTATTTCATCAAGCGGACCAAATGGAAATAAATTTATTTTGGAACATTTTGATGAATCTCAACTTGCAGATGAAGATTCCGATTCAGACGATGGAGTACAGGGAATGGGCATGGGAATGCCTTACGGAAAACTGCCCGGTGCCGGTAGTGCAAATTGTGCGAAGCCTGGAAAAAAGACCAAAGGACGAGTTAAAATAAAAATGGAATTTATAGAAAATAAGTTGAGAAGATACACAACTTTCAGCAAGAGAAAAACAGGAATCATGAAAAAGGTAGACTAATAAACCTCTTTAAAAACATGATCAGGTGCCAATAGGTTTCATGACGAGTGAGAATTATCTTGCAATCAAAATAGACTAATGCCATCCTTGACATTGTAGAGCTAGCATTAGCATTAATAAATCTACTGAAAGTGAAAAGTTATTCAATGCAATTAGATCTATGCCTACCCATTGGCATTGCAAGTTCAATATGAAACTATACCAGCTAGTCTTATTGCCCACTGCCCAGGCCTATTTTATTTGATAAATATGGTTTATTAAATTCTGGACTGTAAGATTATGAGTGACTAATGATCAAGGCCTAGTGTCACGGTCTGTATGACTTGTAAACATTTAGCCTTTTTTAGTGTAGAAATCCAATACAGACTTTAAAAATGGGGCAACATACTCTGGTATTTTGTCATGGATCAACATTGCATGACTGTCATAATACATTTTGAGAAAAGCTACATGTACATTTTCCTGTATAATGCTCTAAATAACTTTATAATTTCAGGCTTATGAATTGTCCACATTGACTGGGACCCAAGTTATGTTATTGGTAGCAAGCGAAACTGGACATGTGTACACTTTTGCAACAAGAAAATTACAGCCTATGATTACATCAGAGAGTGGAAAAGCATTAATTCAAACCTGTTTAAATTCTCCAGAAGCACCCCCTGGCTCTCAAATGTCAATGGAACAACGAATGAACCCATCTGGTTTTGAAGAGACAGAATTAACATATGCTGCTGGTGAAGAAGAAGGAAAGGTGAGTGCATGACCACATTTTTAAAGGTTATATGCATGTGTTTATTTAGAATTATCATTAAGCTTATTCAATAGTACACATCAATCTGATTAAACTACAGATTTATATTTCGTTTCGTGTCAGACATTTGATTAACAAATCAGCGTTGATGTTTCTAGTGGGATACCTACAGTTCCGTGCACCACAGGCCAAGAACTTGCCGCAACAAACTGTTTTATTGGCTAATCCCTCAAATCAACCAAAATGTGGGTTATACGTCAGCTCTTTCAGATCCTAGTGTAGTAAAGACCAGTAAAATGAAATTTTGAAGTATAAAAACCGAAACTAAATAGGATTTGTGTTTTAATCAGATTGTAGTATTCATGTAGTACAAATACCTACTACTAGTTGCCCTAGACTACATGTACTAGCCTACCAAGTCTAAGATGTACAGAGAAATGTCCTACTTTTCACTCTGAAAAATAAGTGGTTCAAACTTTTCCACATTTTATTGGTATTTTTTTTAACGTAGCCTTGTTAGTGATTGCGCTGATGATTCAAGCAGCAAAAGCTTTGGAAATTAATTTGCAGTATCTGTAAAAACAGTGAAGTGGATCACTTATGCTAGAAACTTCTCGGAACGTTTAGATTGTAGGGCTTACTCTAGTGTTACATGTATTTGAATAATTCACAATTTGCCACTTTTGTTTAGACAGTTTCCCCATTCATGCCATTGCAGCCACATGATACATGTAAGTCATTCTGCCATAAGATTCTTAATTTGTCAACAACATGTTTTGTTAAGTGAAAATAAAATGGTAATAATCAATTTATGACTTTGCAATTGAAATATTTTGTAATTGGATACATGATGCATCCATTCAACAAATAATTCATTACTTTACAGGGCACATCTTTTATTACAGTGCAATCTATGTACGGTGTAGTAATTGGTAATGTCCATGAATCTTTAATCTTTATTAATTGATAATTACATGTATGACAGTTAAACTTTATAACTGATATGACAATGAAGCACTATAATACATGTAATTTGTTATGACAATGAAGCACTATAACTCTTAATGACATTGTCAAAACATTAAATTTTGCAATTTGGCACAATTCTGTTTGTTAAGAATACTTAAAAAAACAATTGTGATATTGCAAATGCAATGAGACAATATTGTATATTGATACATGTATTATTGGTATTGGTTATTCTAATAGATTCAGATAAACCAATACACAATGTGCATGTAATTTGTGATATTTTTGGTTTAATTACATAAACTCTACTGATATTTTTTGTATGAAATAAGTTAATCTTGCAAAGTTGAATTTGTTACATCTTTACTAGAAACACATCATGTAAGCATAATTGATATCTATGACAAAATTTAAGAAACAGGTATTTTCGTTATTGTAACATTGCATAGATCAAAGATTAGTGATATGGTCTGTTAGGGGGAGGGGGAGCAAATGGTTTGTAACATGTGCATTAGGTCTAAAAGTCTGTCATTGCGTCAAGTGGCTTGCTTTCGATTCCCTGCTTGTACATGGCAAGGACTCAGTGTCATCTGGCTAACCTTGTGGGTTTTCTCTGGTTTTCCCCACAGCTAAAGATCACTAATTAATATCTCTCTCTGTCTTCTGTCTCTCTCTAGATGTTGTCTGTTACAGTACTTAACCCTTTCTTGCATAGAACAATATTTTTGTTGCTAGAAATGTCAAATTCTAACCAGACATGTATTTTCACATTATTAGACATATCCAATACACTTTTTTCAATTATGGTTCCTAAATTGGGAGGTTAGGGGGTGTGACATATGTTGCCACCATGCAGCTCTGGGTGGCAGTAGGCACACACAATTGATGCCACTATGCACGAATAGAAGGAAATGAAGACAAAAGGAGATGTCTAAAAATGCAAAATACTTATCGTTTCCAGATGTAACATTGACATTCTGTCAACTCTATCAACAATTTTATCAACTTTCAATATTGTGTGGATATTTGGCCAATCCAAACAGAAGACGTTGCACTAACATAACCAATGACTGATTGTCTGAACTTGAAGAGAAACTACAACAAAGACATTTTCTCAGTCCCACAAGCAATGCATATACCAGGCCAGCAGTAGGCTCTACCTATCTTATCCCTATGCTTATGAAAGTCATAGTAGAGCAGCTGGATGTCCCATCGCAACAGAGGAAGACCTTGCATTTGACACATCTTGTTCTACAACACCTGGAAGAACATGTTTTGAGCTTGCATCTTGGTGCATTTTTTGACTGCATTACAGCAGGGAGATGCCCAACATTATCATACCTTATAGCATACCGGCAACATATGTCGCATGTATAAGGTCACTACTGTATCATAGTGGCCACTTACATGTATGTGGCCAGTCTATAAAATACCCCCTAGTTTATTTTTTATTCTTTGAAAAATACTAACTACTATTTCTACATGTTCTGAAACAAACATTTTACTAAACTGATATAGATTTTCACTTAATATCCTCTCCATGGGGACATTATTGCACTTTGCCAGTCGGAAAGTCAAACTCACCTACTTCCACTGGGGGCTGACATGTTGATTCTGCACCAGGCTATCACAGGGCCATCTATCCGCGATAAAATAAACTAAAGATGGCACCGTTTGTGGCCAGCATGCAGTTAGAAGTGAAAGTGTATGTTTTCCCCCCACTTAACACCCCTAAACACTGGCCACATATGTGACCGGGATGCAGGAAAGGGTTAACTGATTTTTGTCAAATTATTAGGAATATTTGGTATTGGATTTAGTTAAGATACATGTAGTTACAAAGTTATTTGTCCCTGACTGGATCGACTGGGGGAATCACGATGGCTAAGTGGGTAAGACGCTGGCTCGCTAGCCTGGAGGTCGAGTGTTCGATCCCTGCATTTGCCAAGACCGTTCATCCTGATTTTCCTCCGTGGTTTCCCCTTGTCAGTGATGCAGGACGGAGGGTCTGACAAGGACAGCTGTCTAGTTGTTTGGATGGGACGAAAAACCGAGGTCCCGTGTACACATTGGCGTGCCCGGGCAAAATTTCCCTCATAGCACATTGTATGGTGTATGCCCGTCTTCATTAGCCCAGATCGGAGCAGAACAGTAGGACGTTAAACCCCCATTTCATTTCAGATCGACTGTTTGGTGATACATGTACATGTAAATGTGCATCACCAGATGTACATGCATCCCACTTGTATTAACTGTACAGAGTTGAATTGTTTCAAGTTCTTGACAAAAATTCATTAAAATTTAAGCAATTGTTAATATTAGCTGAAAAGTGGTCTTTATTTATTTTGAGCACTTTTGTAAATATAGTTCAGAGTTATGCCCCAGATATACGTTATTGTTTATTAAGGATACATTATGGGAGATTCGATAACGAGTTGGCAGTTCTCACTATAATTATAATAGTTAAAAACTAGATAATACATGTATAAAGGCAATTTGCTGAAAATTTCATTCAAATTGATCCACTATGAACCGAGAACTAAGCGATTGAAATTTCCGCCTAGCCTCGATCATCATTACTAAAGTCAGAACGATAAACAGCATAGTCTCGATTATCCATTTAATCTTTAAATCGTGAAGGAAAGTTATGCAGTAAATCTGCTCATTACCCACTAAAGATCGCAGGTCTGGATAGGTTAATTAATGACTAATTAATAATTTAGATAACATTTCAGGCCTATAGAAAGACCTGCAATAGACAAATTTAGCTCTTGCATAATGTATGTTTAATGTACTTTCATGTACATCTACTCAGGAGTAGTCAGTATTGAGTTGATGTTTCCTAGCAATTTTGTTGGTTTTTACAATAGAGTTATTGCTTATGAGCCATAATGGTTGATTAAAGGATAAGAGTTGTAAGACCCAACAGATTCGTTCTCAATCATTTTTCACTTGAAACTTGTAAATATATATATGTACACCACACCTCAGTCTTTTGTTCCTTAACCAGACCTCTGCCATATAGCATCACTGACCAGGAGAACCATGCTGGAAAATCCTGTGGAAGTTTCTTGGTCAATACCAGGACCGAACCTGTGATTTCTGGGTTAGTGGGTCAGCAGTTTACTCATTGAGCTACTGTGGCTCTGTATCTTTTATCATAATATGAACTGTTGGTAAAGTTACAAGTGTAAACAATTTAAAAAAAAAATTATAAAGAATTTAATATTAAAGATACATTATGGGAGATTAGATAAAGAGCTGGAAACTCTCACTATAATAGTTAAAAACTAGATAATGTAAAGGGAATTTGCTGAAAATTTCAGTTACATCTAAATTGAACAACTCTGAACCAAGATTATAGTGATTGAATTTTTGGCCTAGCCTCGATCATCATTACTAAAGTCGGTACGATAAAAAACATAGTCTCGATTATCCATTTCATGATTAAATCATGAAAATTGAGCAGAAAATCTGATCGTAATCCAGTAAATATCGCAGGCTAGTGTTGACATCGAGAGTTGATTATGGCCTAGATGAGTTACTTAATGTCTAATTAATAATTTAGATAACATTTCGGGCCTAAAGAAAGACCTGCAATGGGCAGATTTAGCTCTTGCATAATGTATGTTTAATCTTTGAGAGGAATTTTCTTTTAATATATAAGTTTATTTGTTGTGAATGTGGCTAGTTTATGAACATCTTAGTTTTCTTATTGGGCCTAAATCTAGTAGTAGTTCATTGTTTGTACACATGTAGAGTAAAAGTGTGTCAATGAAATGTTGGGATTTAAGCCAAGATCTACATCTACCATAGGATGAGTAAAGCAAACATTAAGGTTGCCAGCTAAGATACATATGGTCTTCTTCGCCTTATAAGGATTGGCTGTTAGCCCGACCTACAAAGTAATAAGATCCATATTTATCTGCCCCTTAATTGGTGCATCTGCTATATATGTTAGCTAGATGTATGTAGGTTATACCTGGATAAAGGATATAAATAGCTCACTAAGAACCTGGTCTAAAGCTGGATGTACACTACATCATAAGAAACACAGAAACATTTTCATACTGTAATAACAGGCGAATTTTGCTATTTGGTTTTGCTAGTGTAATCTTTGTAGAACAGTCTTCATAGGACCAGTATAGTTGCACTAAAGATTAAAACCACCCCAGTACATATAAACATGTTTATTTTATTTATTTACTTAGAAGCAGAATAAACTACATGTAGACCATTCACAAAAATCTCAATTGTGACTTACATTACGTAGTATACTAGTATTAAAAAGTAGTGTATTATTTTCCATGTAAAGTCAATGAAGACTGTTCTTAATATTTTTACATACATGTAGTTAAACATAACCAAGTACACGTATAACAGAATATTCATCAAGAATGTGCTGACTAACTAGTACAAAAGAAATAGAATTATAATTACTTTATTTGTTTAAGAGAGATAACATGTAAAGATAGTAGTGTGATATCAATAGAAACCAATGACTGTAAACTTGAATCAGCCACAATTTAAATTAGAATTAATCTATTTTAATGGTTTTTGGACCAGGATCTCTTGAAATAGAAGTAATTTTACATGTTTATCGTAAATTTTGTCTTTATTTAACTTTTAATTCTTGCATGATGTGATTTTCAGCTTAATCTTTTGTCATAAATTAATTAATGTATCCAAAAACGGTGCTCAGAGGCAGTTAAACAGTTTTTAAAAAATCTTTAAAAAGCTGTTTTGCGATTAGTTTTCAATATTAAACGTTGTCCGCTTTCATTTTATTTTTAAGCCTAGTACTAACATAGTCTTCAAGTATTGTGTAGGCGTTAAATGACTTGACAGGAATTTGCTATAATAAATTCCTTGAAATGCATAAATTTCGAAATAAAAGCATTTAAGACAAGTTGCTGCCAAGAATGTAATGGCAGAAAATAATTAGTAGCAGATTGTTTGCAATCATGTGCCATCTGTTTCCTCATGAGTTGGCTAGTTAAATGTTCAAGACAGCTAAGTTTGGTAGCTAAAGGTAGCAAGCTGTGAAGTGGCTTTATTTCCTTTTGGTACTTTGATGATGTGTTATAAATTAGTAGCATATGGAAGTCATCTAGATACTGTAAATCTCTATCTATACCCCCATGGGCCCATCTTCATTATTCATTATTTTTATGGTAATCTTACAATTTGAAAATTAATTTTCACTAACAGTTATATGTAGAAAAGAAATATGTTACAAAAATTAAACAGGGTGGATTCTCCATTAATATTGGTTTTATTGAAACAACAAAATCCTAAATACATGTACATGTAGGTTAAAAGGAGTGGATTTTCCATGAACACTGGTTTAGGTATTTAAGACCACAAGATCTTAAATTAAAAATCATATTTTTCCCCTATGTGGTAATAACTTACATGTTAACAAAAGGAGAATGGGAATTAAATAAACCAAATTTTTAAAGCATGTCTGATTTTGATGGGAATGTTCAATAGTTTTTGCTCCACCACTAATACAGTTTTCTATATTTTCAGCCAGTTGTCTTGGAGCAAAGTCCCAGCATGTTTCCTGGAATGTCACTACCTACAACAGAAAATAATCATGCAGCTTCCCAGAAAACCACTTCACCTTCCTCTCAATCATTACATATTACACAGAGTACAACATCAACTCCGGTAACATCATATACAAGTTTACCACAAGCCACATTAGGCAGTAGTTTTTCTGTCAGTTCGTCATCACCACCAAAATCAAGTATATCAATGCAGCTTCCAACCAATTTCATTCTCCCAGGTAGATTTCATGTCAGTATTTATCACATTGTTTACTACACTGATTTCAATAGTGCACAAAGCATAAAATTTGTGAAGTGATAGTTGTAGATTAAGTTTATAAACTAAAAACAGAGGCTTGTGGGGCAATTTTATTCCTCCAAACTCGAACATCACCCCATACCACAAATCCAAAGCATTTGTCACCAAAATCCACATATGTTTTCGTCAAAATCAAACATGTTTATCTTCAAAAACGGTTTCTTGTGACATTTGTAACCGGTACATGTAAATTTACATGATAATTGTCGTTTGATGCACTCACTGTATCAGCTATTCTTAGCATTCTTGAAAATAATTTGTAGCTCCCAGTATGGGTACCGACAACTGGAAAAATATCATGAGAAGACTGTACATAAGAAAACAAATATAGAGTGGGGAATCTTCGCGACTACATCTTATCGTTAACGCTATTTGAATTCATAGGCTTTCCTCGTGGCATCATTATTGCCATTATCTGGATCAGTCTTAAAGATACCTTCCTGCATACAAACTGGGTGATTTGGTGCTATATTTGGACTAAAAACTAATTAATCCATCAAAAATTTGCTACAAAACACTCTAAACCATATTATAACTTAATTGATGGAGGGCCCATTTTCAGAATGAATTTGTTGTTATTTAGTGTCCATTTGCCATATATATTGTAGCCTAAGTAAATTCTTGTATTATCTTCTGCCCACCTTTTTTCCCCCGCCGTTTAATTGCAGCGTATGTTGTACGCTTAAACCCCTCAATGTTCTCAAAACCGCCTAACCATTCAATCACGAAATAACAAGCGCTCCCTAAATCAAGCTGGCAGATAATAAGCCGTCAGGTTGGCAGTCAGTGATACCCTGGCATTTTTTCCCAGTGCTTGCCTTATGGGTGTTTTTCAGGGAATCAGGTATTTTTATAGTAGGATTGGGTGTCCATTTGTACCAAATTTGCCATACTTTTATTGGAAATAGCTACCCTATAAATACTTCCATGAGAATGTATCTTTAAAAACTCAATTATTTTGATCATAAGATTTCTACTGGTGTGTCCTCTTAGGTTAAAATGTAGATTGTACATGTACCTAGTTTTTGTGTTTTAGAGACTAAGCTCCCTCCCTAACCAAAACCTGACTATACCACTAATTGTTTCTTCTGATGAATATTGTTCCCCAAAAAATGTTTGTATTGTTGTTAAATATTTATTTATACTTTATAAAATATCACTTTATATTTCTGTAACTGCACAAACAAGAACAAAAGGTCTCTTCTAAAAAGTTTTAATAAAGGCTATGATAATAATAATTGATAAATATGATTTTTCAGGTACAAATATTACAATTCCTATACCTGGTGGGCAGCATGTGGGTACAACAACATCTTCTGCACCTCAAACATTATATAGGCTACCACAGTCAAATCAAGTTATATCACTCAATAGTAGTAAGTATATTTAACATACATGTATATTATGAAATGAGGTGTAACATTATGCAGTGTACTAAATAGTAAGTGCAGGGGGACTGCACCACACACAAACAATTACACAAAACAAATTTACGGACAGGACACAATATGCAGAAATCATAAACAAACGTACATATCGGATTAAGTGCATGGATCCGGGGCTACCCGTAAGCGTCCACTGCGCTGTACAATCCCAGATTTGTAGTGATACAGACTTTACCCAAAAATGAATATTTCCCCAAAATTTGATTAATACTAGAGAGAATTGAATTCCAGCTGCCAAGGGTTAGTTTAGGTGCATGCCAATGTGTACACATGACTGTATCACTGAAAAGAGGGAACCAGTCTGGAAAATCCTGAGGAATTTTCTGGACAAACACTGGGATTGAACCCAAGATGTCACGGTTCGTGGAGAGAGAGAAATGGGGTTTAACGTCCACTCGACACAAACTAGGTCATTTCGGGACTAACATATGGTTTAATTTTATTTCAATAATTCGCTTGCACTTCGGGGTATTTAGCAGTGGGAGGAAACGGGAGGACCCGGAGAAAACCCACGAGGCTGGACAGGCGACCCTACTCCTTGTCACGTACAACCGGGGATTCGAAACCACGCTGTTGACTCAATGACAGGTCTTATGATACAGCACGCACGTGCTAACCATTCGGCCATCCAACCCCCCTTCACGGTTCGTAAGTTGGCTTGTACTCAATGAGTCACTGTTGCTCACATTTACATTATGTGTGTATGATCGTTAAGTTTGCATTGGGGATCAGTGTATCTGTGGTATATGTAGTCATTCTCTAAGCGTTGGGTATAGATTTCTGAAAAAATGTTCACACCAGTATTATACTATAGAATTAATCTATGTTACAAGTTGCTAAACAGTTGGTGTATGTGAATGTAAATACTTCAGGTAAATATTAGGATTCTGAATCTGAGTTGTATGTACAACAAGTAAGAAAACAAAATTTTTGTGTTTATTACAGTGCATTCTTCAGCGTCAGAATCAAGTACAGCTACAGTTCAGTCAGTTTCTCTTGCCACACCTTCAGCCTTAGGTTTGTTATAGAATGTATTTATGAAAGCAGATATTATACTAAAATAAATTTATGAAAACCAATATACTAAAGAAATTACTCCTTATCCTACAATTCAAATTATTACATATTGTGCAGCTATATAAAAAAGGAATTGGGTGAAGCAAAATAGATATTCTCTATGATTGTATGGAAAAAATAAGGGGAGAATTTTACTCAATAGCAGCAGCATTTTTATACTCTTCAAATGTCAGTGTTGTTCTAGATATATTTTCTTTGTCAACCACACCCAAAAAAAGACTTGGGTGTTGGGTGGGGGGGGGGAATATCTTTGCCTCGCCCAGATTTAATTTTGAAACATTAATGTCCTAATCTCTCGACACCAGCAGCCCTTAGAGTTCAAATAAAGATATATTTTCTTTGTCAACCACACCCAAAAAAAGACTTGGGTGTTGGGTGGGGGGGGAATATCTTTGCCTAGCCCAGATTTAATTTTGAAACATTAATGTCCTAATCTCTCGACACCAGCAGCCCTTAGAGTTCAAATAAAGATAAAATATGAACCATATTTTGATATGTTTGTTTGTTTTTGTAGGTTCTAGTACAAACAGTGGAGGTACAGCTGCAACACCTAGTATATTGATGTATCAGACACCACAGGGTGTTGTATATGCTACCCCGACTGCTGCTCTTAATGATCGAACAATCTTTAACTTTCAACAACCTGCCACAGCTATATCCGTACCACAATCAGATCAAGCAGCAAGTTAGTATCTTTCATTGAAATGAAATCAAATGGGGTTTAATGTCCTACGGTTATGTAACGACTCCACTAATGAAGAAGGACACAGCACTATGGCCTAACCTTCTTTAGAATTCTAACAGCCAAGCGATTTCTAGTGATCTAATTCTGGCCTAAAAATATCTGTTGAGCAAAATTTGAAACACCATTCCCAGTTCCAACAAATATGCCAGTGCATTGCTTTTGATATAAAGGACATCAAAATTCAAATAATACAGTTAAAGATACATTGTGTTAGATTTAGATAAAGAGCTAGCTATTCTTGCTATAATAGTTCGAAAATAGATAATGTAAAATCAGTAATTTGAAAATTTCATTCAAATTACTCTATTGCGAGCAGAGATATTAGCCTTTGAAGGTTTGACAAGACATGTGCAATAATTTCAACCTCTGTACTGGTTGTTCGAAGCTAAGTCTCGCTCCTCCATTTTTTAGCTCAAATCAAAATATGGCTGAACTGTTCTAATCTATTAAATATCTGAGAAATTCGATGCCATCGAGAGTTGATTATGGCCAGGATAAGTTAATTAATATCTAATTAATAATTTAGAAAACATTTCAGGCCTAAAGAAAGACCTGAAATAGTTCTTGCATAATGTATGTTTAATATGACGAAGGAATATATATTTATAAAGAATGAATATTTATATTTCAGTGACTGGTGGTCAAATTATAACTATACCTGTTCCAGTTTCTTTAGCTAATTCAACACAGGTAAAAATATTTGGATTATCTCCCTTATATCACATACCGGTACTGTTTACAAAATCGTCTTGTTAGGCCACACAAAATAAATGTCTTGTTTCTCGGGCAACTGACAGCTGAAACTGTAGGGAGGGAGGGCGGTTTCTTTTTTTTTTTTACTCATTGATGGTGCAAAATAAAATTTGGCTATTGCTGAAAATTGTTGGGGCGGGAGGGCGGTCTTTCTTTTTTTTTTTTTTTAAATGAGAAAGTCATTAGTTGTTTACGTTTTTGCTTTCCGTTATATTCAACTTTATTGTACATACTTAAAACATAAACCCAAAATCAAGTCTACTAAAACACTGAGACTGAACACTGACTGAAAGGAAAATAATTTTCCATATTTAATTCACATAATTGAAATTGGTTTAAAATAAAATTCCATACGACTATGTAATAGCCCTCCATAAAGACAACAATATTTTTAAAAACTAAGCCTCTTTCACCAGGTGTATCAAAAATAATAATCATGGTAAACAGTATTTAAAACTAAATCTAGTATCGCCGGTTTATTTATAATTATTTACCGAATTCCAACCAATGCATGTCACACCGTGTCATCGGTATTGGAGATTGCCGGAAATACTGTTTCTTGGGATATTCGGTGTGTTTCTCAGGATATTCGGTGTTCTATCCGGTGTTTATATTGAATGACTATTTAAATCTAACTAACAACTGGTCAGTAAAACCATCAAATCGGTAATCCAATTATTATTTTCCGGATTATCGAAACTACCGTAAATGTGCTAATAGTGACCCAGATTCTAAGGTATGCATTATGACGACTATCGTCATCGTATCGTATTCTTAGCTATAATTAATTAACCTGTTCTACGGTTCATTATTTTATCAATAGGATTTTCCAAACAAGGACCGACTGAAGCCGGCAATAATGAGCCGATTACGATCGAATGATTGAAATATTGTCGCCAATGACTTTTAACACGAATCAAATTCTAGTTTATCAGGGGAGGTAATTAATATCACGTGATACAAAATGGAGGTTCTTTCGATATCAATAAAAAAGGCAAATCTGCCAAACTTCGCCATTGTTCGGATAAAAAAGACAGCATGTTCATCTGAATCAGTTTTAATACATTTGAATAGATATACATGTATGGCGGATGTAGGTACATGCGGGATATTTTTTTTACGACTTGCTTGTCGATGTGCGGGCGGGCGTTACATATTTATTTTTTTTCATCAAGACTAATAAATAGACTGCACGCGCAACCAATTTTGCGTGCGGGCGGTGCCCGAGAAACAAGTTATTTTATTTGTGTTGCCTTATAGGTGGTTTGACAGAGTTTTTTATGTCCAATATAAAGAGTTGGCCATATTATTATGAACTGATTTTAGTTAATTTCAATTTTTATTAACAACAGTAGTTAGAAGATAGATTTTATAACTATATGGCTAAATTGTGTATAGAATAGACTTAAGTCTATTCTATACACAATTCTCATTTGCCAAAAAAAAGTATTTGAAAATACTTTTTTTTAGGCAAATTAGGTTTCAGGTTTGCTCCCGTTGTTGGCCAAGGTAATCTGTGAAGATTTTCCCGGCACAGTATCCCCTTGTCAGTTGTGCAGGACTGAGCGTCTGGAAACACAGTTTCTAGTCGTTATGATGGTGTGAAAAACTGAAGCCTGATGTACACATTAGTGTGCACATAAAAAAAACCCTTGACAGTTGGAATTCAAAATAAGAGTAGGCTGTAGAGCAGTTGTCCAGGCAAAGTGTCCCCCATAGCATACTGTATGGCGTTAACCTGTATTCATTAGCCCAGTTAGTGCAGAAAAGTAGAACGTTAAACTCGATTTCATTTCCTTTTGCTAATGATTAAATTGTATTTAATTTTAGATGATTCAGTTATCCGCTCCCCCACAAGCAACACAGCAGACACATCCCATGGAAGCTGGTGAAATACCACATCAACCACCAAGTAAAAAATCCAGAAAATAGCATAAGCTGAATACTTTCACCAATGAGATAGATTAGAGCTTTGAACAGCTAGTTCAAATTTTATAAAAAATGGACCAGTTCGAAGAAACAATTCTTGTTATATTATTGAGAACAGTCAATTTTGTGAAGCCATCAAGTAAAAGACAACAGAGAGTCATCATTGGAAATTATATTGACAGATTTTAGAAAACACACCTGAGTATTTTAGCATTTTATGTTACAATATAAACCAATGTATGAAATTTTCATGAGAATACTGGTACAGTCTTTATTACATTCTTTAAAAGGAATTGTTTAATCGATTATATCTGAGAGTTATTTTACCTGTCTGGTATAATGTTTTGTTTCATATTAGAATGATTTAATAAATGCTTCAATTTTATTTTACAAAAATGTGTAAACATGTGGTTGTGACCAGTTTAAATTGCCTTTTATTTGTTGTTAACATGGTAACTGTTTTTAAAGCATAATGCTATATAATATTGTTTTGTACAAAGAAAATACATGCGCTTTATTATTGTGTTTGCTTGTTAGAAATTTAAGAATTGACTTATTGTACATTGTAATTCATAGATATTCAAATATACTATGAAATATGGTTTAAACTGCCACTCTTACCTGTCGTAAATTTCATTGATAGTGATCATGCTTTTAGTGCCTATAAAATTCTATTAAATATTTTATTATAAGAACAGTATAATATTTGTATATATTTTGTAAATATGTATATGATAAATTGTAATATATTGTAAATAGTTAATTTAATTCTGTTGCCAAATAAATGTTGTTAGTGATGGATTTTCTTTTTGTTTTAAAATCTTAATCATTCTGTCCTTATGTGTTCTTTTTATTTATTGCCTTGATTTTTTATTTGCATCTTGTCGAAATTTTTGAGACTTGAATTGTGTACAAAATGATATAGATTATTACACAAAATTTAACAAATCTTTGTTTTAACCAGATGATTTTGTTCATTGATACAAATTTGAAATGTATCAAAATGTAATCTTAAGAGTGTCTGATCATCATTTGAGGGCTTTGTAATCATTGTTACCATTCTGTATCCTTTACAGGCGATATAAATGAAATATTGTCAAAACAAACCAACTTGCCTACATTGTTCTCTCAAATCTTTTTGATGGGCCTCTTTTTTAAAAATACCATTGATGTCAACTGTTGACAGGTTTTCAATTCATGATATATTTGTAAATATTCTTTGGGCTGATATTCATTAAGGTGATCAACTTCACAGTATTGTAGTTTGCAATGAATTCCTCAAACCCTCAAATGACATCAAAAAATCAGATATTGTGAAAAATGCAAATGACCATCAGTGGTTTTAAGTTTCGTTATTAATTATTAATCCATTTAGCACAATTCAAAAAAGAAACATTTGTTGAAACCTACTTTCTTGATTGACCATAAATGAAATTTCACTTCATGATTTAATTTGAATAGATACTTAGTTCTTCTCATTTATTCCATGCCGTTATTGGAAATTGCATGGTCTTTGTAAACAAATAGTTTTATGTTATACAAATTACAGAAAATGTTAATAGTGCTAGATAAATCTTCCTGTTAATGTAGATTTGTTCCATCATGCTCATAGCTATAATTCTATTAATTATCTTAGGTGATTAGAACTTAAATTGTCTCTTATTCTTTTGTCAATGAGCTCATATTACAAGTTTACTGGTAGTTGTTATGCTCAGATGTTTTTAATTTTATAATTTGTCTCTCAAATAGTTGTTTATGTTAAGCACTCTCAATAATATACACATATAGTTATGGTTCATATTTATTTTATATTCAACTGAGACGTAGAATTTATACATATACTCACCCTTGTTACTTTATTAGAATTATTTGTTTTGACATTAAAGCTAACCAATTTTATTTAACAAATATTAATTCTTGTAAATAAATATTTTTCTACAAGTTATTTGCAAACCAATATACCAGCCTAATGCAGACTCAAAGAGAACCAATGTTCGGACACAACCACAAGAAAAAGTTATTCACAAACCTATGAAATAGACTGTAATACCAGTCTAATGAAGGAACTAAGAGAACTAAATTTAATGTTCGGAAAAAACCACAAGAAAAAAGAAATGTCATAAGTTCATATTACATTATATTGTACATATCAATTTCACCATGGTGCTTTATAAACAATGTGTGTTATAAAACAACTGATACCAGTGAGTTTAATGGTACTCTAACGGTAGTAAATGCCTATTTTTTTACATTAAGTTAATTGGCAATAAACAACATGAAATTCATACTGTTTTTTTTATTTTAACTTGTTTATCTTTTATTTGAAGACGTGGTGGTTCTGTGCGTAAGCCACCCATTCTGTGTTTTAATCCAATTGCTGGCTAAGAAAGTTCCACAGGATTTTGCAGCATGGTGGCCCCTTTCCAGTGATGCCAGACAGATAGATGAACTGTGTAGTCATTTGGATAGGACATAAACCTTGCCAGATGCAATTCGATATAAGAGGAGGCTGCTGTCCAGGAAAAAGTTTCCTCATAGTGTATGCTCGTCTTCATTAGCCCAGTTGATGCAGACAAGTAGGATGTTACACCCTATTTCATTTCTCATTTTTGGAGGCCATGGTGGCTCAGGAAGATCCAGGGTTTTGATCAAGAAAAGCTGAGAAAGGTCCCCCCCCCCCCCTGTGTACCTTGCAGTGTATTTTACCCTCGAGATTAAAATGTTAGGGACTTAAAGGGAGGCTGTGAGCTGTTTGATCTAAGATGTTGACGTGCAGGGCACACATTTGTCTTACGAATATTTTGACTATAATCCTGTGATTGTACAAGGGGTGGCAGGGCTTCTTCAAATAATTCACCAAGTTTCACCACCCGTGCACTAGCTCAATTAGGATCAAAACTATGGACCATTTGTGTTCCAAAGTATCGATCCATCAAATTGCTGATCACTCTTGACCTTCGAAAGGTTGGTTACAATAAACAAAGAAATCCCATCATGTCAAGATGACCCCGTTTTAATGTTTAAAAACATTAACCAAAATGTCAGTACATTCTGATAACCATTGATGGCATATCTCAATGGAGCACAGCACACACAAAATCTCTCTTCATATTCTGGGGGTCACGGTGGCTAAGTGGGTAAGACTCTGGCTCGCTAGCCTGAAGTTCGGGTGTTCGATACCTGCATTGGCTGAGAAAGTTCATCCAGATTTTCCGGCATGTTTCCCCTTGTCAAGGACAGATGTCTAGTCATTCGGATGGTACAAAAAACTGAGGTCCCGTGTACTCATTGGCGTGCGCGTTAAAGATCCCTTGGCAGTTAGAATTCGATATAAGACTGTATGGCGTATGCCGTCTTCATTAGCCCAGTTCGGAGCAGAACAGTAGGAAGTTAAACCCCATTTCATTTCATTTCTCTCTTTATATTCTCAACTAAAATATAAAATACACAATTTTTAGAAAAAATAGTAACAACTTTATTTTATATAATCTCTCTTCCATATATTTATGCATGATATATTTCGAATGTACAACAATACTTGCAATGAACAGTGCTCTATCAGATTCAAATATAATCCATTTAATTTTGATTGACATAAACATTTCTTTTGATATGTACATTTGATTGACATAAACATTTCTTTTGATATGTACATTGGCAATAATAAGTATCTATTTCTATTATTTGATATGCAGGTGTATATATTCAGTTGGTACGGTAAGTATCTTTATCTGGTTTCCGGCTGTAAGTACATTACATATAATATAATACTATCTTTTGAACTGGTTGCAACAAAAAGTTTTTTACCCAAATATTTGCACTGTTACTAACAACAATGAAATACAAAATAAATAAGCTGAGAAAAAAAAATGCAACCATGCTTCTTAATTACTAATATTAAAAATAAAAACATTAAATTGAATAAGGGCTATTTCATTCAAAGGGTGGAAGTGTTACTTTTTAAAATGATCTGGTGGTTAAGGTGATCTTTTTAACTGGATTCAATTAGTAGAAGGGAGTCTTGGAAAAAAAGCTTTGCATGCAATTTCTTCTTTTTTTTTTACTGGTTGAGGGCTTACCAAATATACACATATATTCTATTCTCTCCCGTCCAGATAATTTTAAATGAAAGAGCCCCAATTCTTGGATCATGCAATAATTGGTAGTTTTTTTAAATCCATAGCCATTACAGAAAGACCTTATCCACTGAGTAATTTATAATATTAAATATGATGATCATTTCATATTTCAAATAATTAATACTAAAAACATATAACAATGTCACCAAAAACATTAAAATATCCCAATCAAATGCTTTCATCATAATATATAATCACCATAACCATCTCCTAATACTTTTTTTCATCAGATTTCATTTAGTGTGATAAAAGAAACATGCTTGGGGGTCCAAATGGAAAGGATTTACGGTAGAAGCCATTCAATGATGAAACCATTGCATGATATAGTAGTTATCAGCAGGACTCCCAACAGCATTATTGTGGCAGCCTTGTGAAGAGATCTCACTATAAAGCAGTTGTACTCAATAGCAGACTCCAGCCTTGCTATAAAAATAATTTGTCTGTCGTACCTTATGGATACGGACGATGAAAATAATGATATTCAGACACAGGATCCCAATAAGGTGGTTCAGTGAACTCCTAGTATCCACAGGAATTAGAAGGAAAAGTGATTGGAATGAATGTAATCCATCATGAATAACAATCTGGATTAAAAGTTGCCTTTAACCTTCTGTGATCCTTTTAATAAGGGCCAATAAAATGTGACAAAACAAATAAAAGAATATATATTTTAACCAAAACCAAAGAATATTGCAGATTGAATGGATTTGTTAGCTTACCAAAAGCTGTATTACTAAACATTTTTATAATTCCTCATTTCTGAAGTTAAATTGAAATAAAGATTAAAAATACAGGCAAGAATACCATATCAACAGGTACATTATTTACATTTGAAGAAATATTTTAATCTATGATACAAAATCTTACATGCATAGCACTATTAAGTAATAATATTTTGGCCCACAATTTGAATTCTGGAAGAATAGCAAATTCATAAAAAATAGCTTATATATGGAAATTTAATGAAACGTAAGATTCTGTTAATATCTTGTTTTGTTGTCAAGCAGAACCAGTCACAAACAATAAACCAAGTGTATTGGTCCCAAATAGATATTTACATTTATACATACAATGATTATTTATATAATACATGTAGTAGTACAATGCTGATATATGATAAACATTTAATGTGAGATTCAAAATAATGATTTGATAAGATTAACCCCTTACCATTATGTATATAGAATAATAGCATACACATAAATATCCTATTTATGGGGAATTAATAGACCCAGGGTCCTACTAGCAAATTTAAACCAATAAATGATTTAAAAAAGCAAAATTGATTTCATCTGGAAATTAAATTGAATAGTTTTTTCTATCGTTTTTCAAATTTTAAATGTAGCACATTTCTCTTAATCAACCACCTGGCAGGTTTCAAATATAACGATAGATTGTAAAAGAAATGGACTTTATTGCATTTAATTTAACATGATAATGTCCTATGTAATACACCATCACCAAGTTAGAACATGTTAGCTCAATTAGAAACAGAGTTATTGTGTCCCAAAAAATGTGACAGACAGATCCATTTTGATTTCCTCCTGGGTTCTTTGAAAGGTGGTGGGATAAATTATAAGCACATAATATAATAATATATATCTATATATACATGTATAGGAAAGAAACACAGTATTATGGAGAGCTAGCACTTTCAGTTCCATCACATTCTCCATTAATCATTACACAATAATGATTAATGGAGAATGTTAACAGTCTGACGATGTTTCGATGGAATTAAAAGCTCTAACCGCATAATACTGTGTTTCTTTATTCAACATTTTAATTTTTACATATACAAGCTAAGAGGAGACCATTAATTAGAATTTGTATATATACATGTATATACACACTATCCCCAAGGTATACACAGGGAGGGTTTGGGGATAAATTACCATCAATTACATACCTGAAACCCCATAAACAAAGGTAAACTTCTCAAAAAGAACCAAATTTTAAAATTAAAAATATTCTTATCAGGTGCTACATGGCCTCTTTTAAAGAGTTTATCTCCGCTTTAGATGGGTCACTCAAAGATGCATTATGTGAGATTTAGATAAAGAGCTGGCCGACCTTGCTATAATTCATATATTGAAAAATTTTCATTCAAATTACTTTAATCTGAGCGACATTACCACTGTTTGAAGTTTAGACTTTGATTGTTGATTATCACTTCTCCATTTTAAAATTAAATTATTAAATGGTGATTGTATTTTAATCCGTTTACACGTGTGCCATCTGTGAGTTGATTATAGGCTTGTCGTGTGAATAAATGTCTAAATAATAATCTATATTTCATTTGAAGCCAAAATAAAACTATGTAATAGGCAGATTTTGCTCTAACATAATGCATCTTCAGGCAATAAAGACATAAATTTGGATTTCAATCTTACAGTTCCGTACAAGACCAAACAAGCCAACAGTGAGGCTGATGTCCCCCGCCGAAATTCCAAAATAAAAAGATGACACATATTAATTAATCGCACATTTATTTTTTTCAAAAGTATCGAGCAATCAAACCATACACTCAGTTTCACCAATCTCTATCAGATAGAATCAAGATTATCTTGTCCCAAACCATCGACAAATGAAATCGATTAGCTCTGCTTATCGTCAGCTCGAAATGTTAATCATTGAACTCTGTCAAGACATTCACCTAATGAACATCTACATCAAGTTTAAACATTCACCTAATGAACATCTACATGAAGTTTAAACATTCACCTAATAGACACCTACACCAAGTTTGAACATTCTACCTCAATTAGAAGGAGAGTTATTGTGTTCCAAAGTCTCAACCAATCAAATTGCTTATCACTCTGATTACCCTCAGCAAAAAATTCTCATTATCGAACTTAGTCAAGGTATTGATGTAATAAAACTATACACCAAGTTTCATCACTCTCACTTAATTAGAACTAAAGTTATCATGTCCCAAAGCATCAACCAATCAAACTACTTATCTCTGCTTACCATAAGCAGAAAATTCTCATCTTCGAACTCCATCAACGCATTCACCTAATAGACACCTACGCCAAGTGTGAACATTCTAACTCGATTAGAATGAGACTTATTGTGTTCCAAAGTCTCGACCAATCAAATTGCTTATCGCTCAAATTGATGTAATGAAACTATACACCAAGTTTCATCACACTCACTTAATTAGAACTAAAGTTATCGTGTCCCAAAGCATTAACAGACACACGGACGAACCCATTTTAATAGTCCCCTGCTTTCTTCGAAAGGCGGGGGACAAAAAATAATCAAATAAAACAATTAAAATCTTATTTCATAAGTAACAAACAAATTATTCTAATTGTAGGTCAGAATGTTTGACCTACTTTCTTCGACAGGCATTCTTGGTGGCATCAAGGCGTAAGTATGTGGCAACGAAAACACGAAATATTCTGTTAAAATTGTCAATAGATGTAAAATCAAGGGCAGCTTTGTTGTCACTTTCTTTATGCCAGACGCTGGGAAAAGGCACAGAGATGAGATGAAGTATATTAACTCCTGAAATAAGAAACCAAGATAATTTTAGAATTTCTCACTGAGTCGAATGTCGTGGTATAGATTACCCGCTTGTATGTAGGGCCATATGTCTAATCTCTGGGTCCTCCGGTTCCCTCCCAAGACCCCTACACACAAGCTAATTATTGAAATAAAATTGAATCATATTTTAATCCTGAAATGAACTAAACCCCACTTCTCTCTCAATATTACAACTAAGTTTTCTTTTTCTAGCCTGTTACATTGTTGTCACATAAAAACATTTTTATATTACCAAATGCCATCATTGGTTATCAGATCTGCTGTTTAGAGAGAGAGAGAAATGGGGTTTAACGTCCACTCGACACAAACTAGGTCATTTCGGGACCAACATATGGTTTAATTTTGTTTCAATAATTCACTTGCGCATAGGGGTCTTTAGCAGTGGGAGGAAACCGGGGGACCTGGAGAAAAAACACGAGGTTGGACAGGCGTCTTGTCACGTACCACCGGGGATTCGAAACCACGCCAATCGACTCAATGACAGACTTTATGATACAGCGCGCGCACGCTAACCATTTGGCCATAACACTCCCCCCCCCCCCCTGCTGTTTAGAGAATCCATCTAAAATCAAAACACATTATTTAGAAGTTCAGGTAAGTGTTACCTTTATTGAGAAATGGTATATGATCATCTTGGATTCCCATTTGTTGTGGTGGAAGGTTTGCAAAAAAAGGGCGATAATAACTATTGGCAGCAACTGATAAAAAACCATTATTCTGTAATTTTTGTTCTGTAAAAAAAAAAGTGTCACAAATAAAAAATATTTTCTGAGTGGCCTTACTACAAAATAAACTGTATATGTAATCTAATAAATACATTTAAAACACAAAAAAATATGCCGTCTATGGTACAACATTGAAGTGTTAACTCTGAACCTCTGCAAAAAACACATTTGATATTTGATAACAAATTCATAAAGAAGGCAATGATTTACATCTGTCACAGTTTGTCAGCTATTTTACTATGTATTATATATAGGTATATGATAAACAATGACTTGCATTCTGTTCGTCAGATGTATGTTTTTCATGTAATATACTTCTCCATTGATGACTATGTTTGTTTGTCCCAAAACATAATTTATAAAGCACCTTGGTATAAAAGCACTGAACCGATTTATTTTATTTAAATTTTAAACAAAGTTTGACAGGTAATGAAACATGCCCACCAGCAACTACCTCATTCATACAGATATGAGCTAAACAACTCAAAGAAATTTAAAAAAAGATCAGATCATAATTCAATCATAATGTCTGAGGGGCTAACAAGATTTTTCAAAAAAGGTGAATAACTCTGGAATTATTATCAATAACCAATAACATTTTTACTTTCAATAGGACAGACGACCAATAAAAATTTCATAATTGTCGACCATAAAGCAGTAACATGATCTATTTCAATTTACTTGTCTGCGATATCACCTCGTGGAAGCAGACGTAAAATACAACTAACAAACATATTTCAATTTAGAAAAAGATATATTGGTAACTGTAGCATTTATTGTGCTAATTAGAAATGTGATATACAGACGAACAAACTGATAAGAGAGGGGTAATGACAATATATCTAACCACATTTTAAAAGGCTTCTTCATATCGACGAGATACACAACCCATATTGATTTCCCAAAGACAGACAGGGGTGATGGCAACATACATGTACAAACTACATTAAAATGTGGATGTATAAAATTATTAGAAAAAGAGCGTAATTAATTTGAGCAAATATTGAAAGAAATAATTAAATAATTTAAATGGCTAAACATTATATTTACCTATACTATATAATTTTTCATATAATTGGGAAGTTTCACTAAACATATTTTTAAAAGAGACATCACTTGTACCAATTAAATCCAATAAAACAAAATCAGTCTGAAAAAAAAAAGACAATTAATTAATTGTTACTGGTAAGCAGGTGCTGCCTAGTACCGTAATGAGGTCACAGTTAAATCAATAACTCCTAAGTTAATTTCGTCAAGCATGTACATTAACATAACTTTTTATAACACTGTTTAGCAAAAACGTTATCTTGTAAATGAACCAGAAGGAGTATAATCATAAAATCAATAAAAATAAAGAACATTGTCAATAACTTCAGAGGTAAATTTTTGAAGCACATTAATATGAATATTAAATTTATGAAATCATCAAAATGAGAGAGAGGAATGGGTATTAACGTCCAATCAACTCAAACTATGTCTAATTATGGTTAAATTTTATTTCAATAATTAGCTTGCGCCATGGACCTTATATGTATTATAAGGTTTGTGCTTGCACGTTAATGAAAATAAAGAATGCTGTTGTATACATAAGTGTATTTAACGTACGTTGATATTTTCCGGGATCCGATGACTCTGTTTGGTCATTCAGAGTTTGGAAATGCATTTTATGTTATTTATAGAAGGCAAAACAAATGATGAAATGGTTAAAAGTGGAAATAGAAATGTAAATGTTGGTTGTTAAAATAATTACATACATCTACTTTGGGAAAATGCTACATTATAAGTAAAAATTTATACCATTTTAATGCCCCAAGGACAATGTCTTTCAAATACTTAAATATTTGTGTTGTATGTCAGTGTAGTTTCTGGTTGATTCACATGGTACAATCTTTGTAAATCAAATTCATTAAAATTAATTCTGATCATTGACAAAAGTATATGAATTTTTCTTTATCATTAACTTACAATTGTCTGCAACATAGTTTTAGAATTATCATGGGGATCTGGAGTGGTATGCCATAATTGTGCAAGATGTCTAGCACCGTAAGTAGAGTCTCTATCTGACCAACTTACAAATGCTTCCTCTCCATCCAAAAATACAAGTTGTACAGTAGTTTGTGGTATTACCTAAAAAATAAAAAAAAAAATAAATAATAATCTGCACGTTATCCACTCATTCTTTACTTGATCGGCTAAATTAATTTGCTGTATGTGTGCATTAGGTTAGAATGTCCAACAACTTAAAAAAAAGGAGAGAAATGGCAATATACTTGTAAGATTGGGCAGCTGATTTTTCTTGTGATCAGCCGAAATCTATTGACAAATCGTCAATAGACAGTAAAACCAATCTGTTGAAGATTTGATACAATAATTCATGAAGAATGTGAGATGATTCAAGAACTACATATGTATATAATATGGTAATACAAATTTATCAATCATTTTTATACTTTTTATTAGTCCTTTGACTTAACTTGTGACTTCTGTCATACATATTCCTGAAGCAATGTTAACAAGCAATATCAGTATAGTAACCACTGATAAACTGAATAGAAATCAAAGACGACTGTTTTCATAGGCTTACCGAAGTATCAAAATAGTTTATGGATACAAGTACATGTAGTCCCTCCCAATCCCCCAACCTCTTGCAGCAAAGCTGGGGATGATGACGGATGTTAACGACTACTGTCTGTGTAAGCAAGGCTTATGACAGTGTCAAATATATTATACACCTTAGCTGGGAGGGGGGGGGGGGGGGGCTCCTACATGTAGATCTTGAGGCCCTAGGTTTCAGTCTGCCAATACCTATAGGTAAATACAGCACTGGTTATACTGTACATGTCAATCAATCAATGAAGACAGAATAATTTGTATAGCACAAACAATATTTCAGATAAAGTTCCCTATACCCTTTAATTATAAGTGGATTCTCGTTAAATAGATGTGTCTTCAAAGGTGACTTGAAGATGTCTCAAGTATCTTTATTCTAGATGTCTTAGGGTAGAGAATTCAAGAGATCTTAGCCATAGATCTGAATGTTAATAGAACCAGTCCCCTATGTATCAGTAATCTAAAGACATTAATTTGAAAATAAGAAATAAATAGTCTAGCTCGAACATTTGAAACTTACAGTTGCAGATGATTTTCGTAAAAGACAATTTAGATTAGTGGCTAAATCTATTAACATGGCACATGGTACAGCTGAATCTGTTGCTGCCACAAACGTCTTTCCATGCATTAATTTAGAATCAAAGTGACAAGCTAAAACCAGGCGATTTGGAGCTCTAGGATCAAAGGTTGCTATAATATTTGTAAATGGCTTCTGTCCTAATGGTGTAATGTCCATAAATCTATCTTTTGTAATATTCCATCCTAAAGCACTCATCCGAGCTTCAATAAACTACAAAATATAACAAAAATACATAAACATAGTACAAACTACAAAATAAATACATGTACATGTATCTTCTTTGATTGGCATGTACATGTACATGTAGTATAAACTGTAAAATATACATATACATGCAGTATAAATAACAAAGTATAAGTTTATATATAAATGTAATATAAACAAAGGTACCGGTAGTAATTGCAGAATATTATCGACAGGAAATTGAAGATTATATATGAATTCAATATGGAAAATAATGAGGTGCATCAGGAGAATTCTGATGAATTTGAAAAAAATAGGTTGCCAGGCAATTAAATCGTCTGAGCAGTCGACAAGGGTTGTCACATATTTATGCTTTTGTTGGTAACAATAGCATTTACAAGACAATGAAATCAATTTCATACAGATCGAATGTTCACAAGATTCAACAAAGTGAAACAAGGGTCATAACTGTAGAAGTTATTAATGTACGGAGGTGACGGCAGAATACGACTGCATTTCCATGTGGATGTATAAAAAAAAAAACTAGAGCAATTACAAGAAAATTGGACTGGCCAACATGCGACAATGTCAGCTACATGTACATGTATTCACAAACCATGTCATTCGGGACTAACACAGGGTACAACTTTATTTCAATAATTCACTTGAGAGTTGGGGTCTTTTGCATAGTAGGAAACCAGAAAAAAAAACCCCACAAGATTATTGTCTTGGCCACACAGAACCTCCTAGTCTTCAACATACGGAGGGTCTGAGACCGTTGCTAATATTTGACAAAAAGTTCCATTGCCCATGCGTAACTGGAAGTTTTTTTTTTTTATGTGGTTGATTATCCAGTATCTTTAGCCAAGTCAAGTAAGAGTTGCACCCCTTCCCGCAATAAATCCCATAATTCTTGCATTAGTATAAACAAATATGAACCGTGATGACGAATTAGGATTAATGAAAAAAAAAGATAGGTTGCCAGGCAACGAAACATACGCCCACAGCAGCTATATAGTCCGGGCAGTCAACAAGAGTTGTCGCATATTTTTACTTTTTTCGGTAATGAAACATTTATAATACATTAAAATCTGATTAAGAGTAACAACTCATTAAGTAATTATCAGAAAACCATTAGAATTTGTTCAGTTTTTATAAAGTTCTGCGCCATGCTAACGTTTACTGTAGCATACGAAACTTTTAACATCATGGATTTAGCTGTTCAAGTCATAAAGATTCATTGAAAATCAACATACTTGTTCGTCTCAAGACCTTAAACACTATGTATAAATTTAAAGTCAATCGGATATTAACTTTGACCTCTAGAGCTTCCACATAATTTTTTGAAATGATCAAGGGCCATAACTCTGGCAGTAACTATCGAAAATTGTTGAAGATCAATAGGCTTCTTCGTCTCATGGCCTTAAACACTGTGTATAAATTTAAAGTCGATCGGATATTAACTTTGACCTTTAGAGCGTCCACAAGATTTTTCAAAGTGATCAAGGGCCATAACTCTGGAAGTAATTATCGAAAAATCGCTGAAAATGATTAGACTTCTTCGTCTCATGACCTTAAAAACTGTGTATAAATTTAAAGTCAATCGGATATTAACTTTACCCTCTAGAGTGTCCACAAGATTTTTTGAAGTGATCAAGGGCCATAACTCTGGCAGTAATTATCAGAAATCGCTGAAAATCAATAGGCTTTTTCATCTCATGACCTTAAACACTGTGTATAAATTTAAAGTCAATTGGATATTAACTGTAGCCTCTAGAGCGTCCACAAGATTTTTTGAAGTGATCAAGGGCCATAACTCTCGAAGTTATTATCGGAAATCGCTGAAAATCAATAGGCTTCTTCGCCTCATGACCTTAAACACTGTGTATAAATTTAAAGTCAACTGGATATTAACTTTAGCCTCTAGAGCGTCCACAAGATTTTTTGAAGTGATCAAGGGCCATAACTCTGGCAGTAATTATCGAAAATCGCTGAAAATCAATAGGCTTCTTCGTCTCAAGGCCTTAAACACTGTATATAAATTTAAAGTCAATCGGATATTAACTTTAGCCTCTAGAGCGTCCACAAGCAATTGTGGATGCCGGACGGACGGACGGGGGCGACGACGACAATATACGACCACATTTCAACGTGGGCGTATAAAAACCATAGATATGGCCCATGATGAGAGAAATTTTACAATAAAAAAAATTAATAGTGTTGGATATTGAATTGGCAATGCAATCAAATGGTTTTTCTGAAATGGCCTTCTTAAATTAATTCCATAGGCATCAACATCTTGTTTTATGACTAGTCACATGTACCTTCCTTAGACTTTGTTTTTGATAATGTAAAAGACCGGATAATCTAGCCAATGCCCTTCTATTCTCATCCAGACTAATATGCAGAGAATAATTTTCTGGTTGATAGAGACTAACAAGATTATAAAGGTGACTTTACTTATTGTCACTTACAAGCTGTGAATCAAAAACCACACCATTTGACTCAATTACAGACCTTATGACAGGCCACCCAACCCACCTTTAACCCCGAGTGAACATATCTCTAAACATTAGACGTTAAATAACCCTGCAGTCACATACCTCTTGAACAGCTACATTGCCTGGGGTACCAGGTATTCTTTCAACAAGAAATGGATCCAATGATTCTTCAAATTGATTTCTGTTCGAGTAGTCCACAGACAAAACTTCCAGAACTTTCTTGGTGTAGCTAGCCATAGATCTTTTCCTTCTCTATAAAAAATAAAATAAAATACAAACATTAAAAATAAATATCAGTGCTGTAAGTTAAGTACAGGATATCTGGCTGGTATAATCCTTGAGTGGCATCTAGTGATTGTTAAACATACATTATGCAAGATCTAAATCTGGCAATTGCAGGTCTTTCTTTAGGCCTGAAATGTTATCTAAATTATTAATTAGACATTAACTAACTTATCCAGACCATAACCAACTCTCGATGGCATCGCTAGCCTGTGATATTTACTGGATAAGAACCTGGTCTGCTGCTTCTGATTAAATCAGAAAATGGATAATCGAGACTATGTCTTTTATCGTCACCGACTTTAGTAATTATGATCGAGGCTAGGCCCACGATTCAATCTCTAAATACTTGGTTCAGGGTGGATCAATTTGACTGAAATTTTCAGCAAATTCCCTCTACATCATCTAGTTATTAACTATTATGTGAGAACTACCAGCTCTTTATCTAATCTCCCATAATGTATCTTTAACGATAAGAGTATGTACTTGTCAAAATGTTGTATTACATGTATGTGTACAAACCAGTGATTGTTTTCCATATAAATTGTTTTGTGTTTTATCTATGCACCTAGATGTACAGCAAATTTGACTCCCTGACACTAAAATCAACAGAAAAACCTTAATTAAAGACAATTAATCATCCTAGAGTGTGTTGACAAAAATTTCCAGAATTTATCAAGGGTCACTGAATTAAATTATTGAAAGGGGAACCCAACTCTTGCCCCTCAGATAATATACCAACATTTCAGTGAGATTGAAAAATAAGGGTAGTCAACGGAGCTGTAAGAATTTTCAAGAAGTTATTGGGGAAATTAATAGGCCGGTATTTTTTACTACTACAGTTAACATTACAATAATGTAAATTTTATAAGAGCCTGAATAACAATTATGTAAATTTCATAAAGCCTGCATAACAAACATATAACATCACAAAAAGTCAATACTATCATCTAAACAAAAGACACATGGCGAATTATCAATTTTACAATAAATTACACTGTATGAACCAGAAGATCCTGGGATCGATACAGGTGTTGATACCGTATATAAAATTACTATATCTTGCAGCTATACAGGGTTAAAACTGGTTAGAAACACATTAAAATGTATGTAATATTAAATTACAAAGATAAAGCTTTATATTATATACTAGATGTACAGTACAAACGTTGCGAAGGTTTGACGAAACACGATTATCGTGTTGTTTTTTGTTGAAAATTGCCACGACAACGCCATGATAAAAAACTCGGTGTAGCTGTCGCTATCGTATGCCACAACAGCTCAGTGAGCAAGACACTTGTACTGGATTCAATCAGGGGTTGGCCGGCATGAAGTATGCATGGAGTATGCCCTTCTTCATTAGGCTGAATGGTACAGAAAACGTTAAATTCCACTTCATTTCATGAAATTACACTATGTACAATTGCAATGTATGAAAGCTACATGTACAAACTTGTTGTTACATGATATTGTCAGACACTCACTAATTAAGGGCGATGTCACCTTTAGGTTCTTGAAAATGCTGACTGGATATTGTGACAGGTTACAGCTACATGTACCACCACCCTTACATCAGCTTTTGCTCAGTAGGACTGGCGTGGAACGTCTGAACGTCAAATATTGTTCTACACTCAGAAAGCAGGCATACATTTACATGTAGATTCACCAGTATTTTCAATGTATTCATTCATTTAAATTTTTTTAACAATATTCAAACGGAATTGAAACCAGTCGAATAGCAACAATTTATTTCAATCAAGAATCAACTCATGGTATTTTTTCATAGCTGATAATTTTAAACCTGACATTTAATAAACTATGACTATCAATTTTTTTTTATGGCCTTAAAACAGGCCAGTTTTCTATCTCTTCTTATCTCATTTAAAAGGTCAAGACAATGTTCTTTCTAATTTCATGTTTCAATGAAAAACCACCCGGGAGCTTTATCTATTGTACATTAAAGTTCAGATATCTTATAGGCGCCAATCATCTTTAATACAAAGCCTTGTAATCTTAATGATGCATTAATTCTAAGAGCTAAATCTCCATATTGTAGGTCTTCATGTTGGCTTCAAACGTTTTATATATTACTAGCAGGATACCCGGCTTCGCTCGGGGGTCATAACTCCAAAACCGGAAGTGGTAGACTAACGCCACCTGGCCTATGTTACTCCCCGGTCCGAGCTACCCCTATACCCCAAATTTCAGACTCGGGGCAGATGTAGCCGCCAACCCGAACAGACTTCGCTCGGGGGTCATAACTCTGAAACCGGAAGTGGTAGACTAACGCCACCTGGACTATGTTACTCCCCGGTCGGAGCTACCCCTATACCCCAAATTTCAGACTCGGGGCAGACCTAGTGTAGCCGCCAACCCCGAACAGACAGACTTCGCTCGGGGGTCATAACTCCGAAACCAGAAGTGGTAGACTAACGCCACCTGGCCTATGTTACTCCGCAGTCCGAGCTACCCCTATACCCCAAATTTGAGAGTCGGGGCAGACCTAGTGTAGTTGCCAACCCCGAACAGACAGACAGACAGACAGAAAGACAGACAAACGACAGTCACAAATATATATATAGATTATATTATTAATTATTCACATGACAAGCTCATAATCTACTCTCTTGACCATAGGATTGAAATTCGCCATTTAATAAATTCAACCAGCGGCTGCAAGGCAGGATACGCCCACATTTTGCAAGAGATGGATAGAGAACAAGCTAAACAAAAAGAGATATTTTGTAAAATCAAGGGCCATAATTCAGGAAGTAACAATCCGATATGCACGAATAAAGGCAGGAACCAAGATCTTTGAGTTATAAACCTATATTTGAAGTTTCATCCAAATCGGATCAACATTGTGACTTCTAGAGGGTCCACAACATTGATATACATGTACTATATATTTACACTATTTGCGTACGAGGGGTGGCCATTTTGTCCAGCAGTTTTGGTTTAATATCCGATTTCCACGAAATTCTAACTCAAGACGTCATCAGGGTGTAACTGTCAAATATTCAAACGTTTATTTCAATCTGATAAAAATTGTGACCTCTAGAGGGACCACAGGCTAAACCGCGATTTTTACCTGGGTAAAACATTGAATAATAAGAATCATACACGAAAGACATAATATTTGACACCTTTTAAAGATGCATTATTCAGGAACTAAATCTGCCTATTGCAGTTTTTTATTTTGGCTTCAAATGATATCTCAATTATTATTTAGACATTTATTCACAGGACAAGCCTATGATTAACTCTCTAGATCATCGGATGGCAGAGATTTAAACCGGTTGAAATGCGATTGTCATTCAATAATTTAATTTTAAAATTTAGAAGCGAGACTTGAGTCTCGAATAACAAATAACATTTGTAAAGTAATAAACAATATTTGCCACACCTTGTCAAAACTTCAAACAGTGATAATTAGACTTTGAATAAAGTAATTTGAATGAAATTTTCAATATACATGTATTAATTTTGAATTATCTATTTTGCAAACAATATAGCAAAAAAGGGATCATCTCTTCAACCCAATATGGGTAATGGCCACTGTGTTCTAATCTACTTAAAATTGGAGCCACCCAATGACCAAGAGAGCTGATTATGAGCTTGTCATGTTAATAAATGTTGAAATAATAAATCATATAATTTTTGAAGACAGAAAAAGGACCTGAAATAAGTAGATTTAACGCTTACTTACATAATGCATCTCTAACTAAATTACTCACAGTAATATTTACATCTGTACTATCTGTACAATACAAACCTGATTTCTCTGACCTTATTCTAAATCTGTCACATAGTTCATAGGAAATAGTAGAAAATATAATAAGCTTAGAATCCATAATGAATGAGCTATATGGCTGGTAATTACATGGTGGGAATGTTTAATGTGTTCACTTCTGGTCAGGCTAATTTTGATGGTCCGAAAAGACTAAAATCCACATTTTTAACCTCACCTTATATTCAAGCTATTTTCTTAATAACTATTTTACTACAATAAATCAATACTAACTGTAGTAGCTGACAAAATATATCATGTATTTCTCTTAACAAGTGTGAGGAGGACAACTGTGAATGCAGACAAATCATCAGGAATAAAAAAAATAGATGAAATGAGGTTTAATGTCCCACTGTTCAGCTCCGGCTGGGCTAATCAAAACATACAAGAATATGCCATACAGTGTGCCAGAAAGGAAATTTTGCTTGGACAGCAACGCTATGGCCTACTCTTATATCAAATTCCAACATCCAAGGGATCTTTTACGTGCATGCCAATGTGTACACAGGTCCTCAGTTTACATACCATCCGAATGACTATAAGTTGTCCCTTGCCAGGCCCTTGGTCCTGGCACCACTTACAAGGAGGAACGAGGCCGGAAAATCCCAATGAACTTTCTCGGCCAAAGCAGGGATTGAACACTGTCCTTCAGGGTAGCGAGGTAACATCTTACTCACTTTGCCACCCTAAGTATCAAATGTTTTGTAGTTTAGTTTGTCTCATTGACATCCCTGCATTCCTCATGAACTGTCTGCTTTCACTTTCACTTACATTTATTTACGTAATAAATGTCTCTTGAGCGTAGAAACATTCAGATGTTGTGATCCTTTCTTCTCTGTGTATATAACTAGGACTGCTCCTTTAGCTGATTATTAAGGTCCATAAAAAAAACAACCCCGAAGCAACACACTTTAACAAGACTGTTAAGAAAGGGCTACTTCCCAGTTTTGTTAAGTTTGTAGCTTGGGAACCATTCTTGAAGTATTTTTGGAGGACTGCTTCCATCCTGTCCCAATGAACGGTATCACTGAGTCCCACACTTCCACGTACTTCACTTGTTTTTATTATGGTGTTAACAGGTGGGGTACAGCATGCTTCCCAACTCAAGCCCTTGTCATTCACTTTTTTTTTTGAATTGTTTGTTTATTTGTGGTTTCTTAGTATGATGTCTTGTCCATGTATTTGTTTTTATGTAAATTATGTGTGGTGCAGTCCCCCTGCACTTACTAATAGAGTAATTACTACAGAAAAGGATGTAAGTTGTGATTTTCTCAACTGAAGGCAAGGGCCCCATTAAAATGAACACTGAACCAACATATTCCCAACTCAAGCCCTTGTCATTCACTTTTTTTTTTAAATTGTTTGTTTATTTGTGGTTTCTTAGTATGATGTCTTGTCCATGTATTTATTTTTATGTAAATTATGTGTGGTGCAGTCCCCCTGCACTTATTAATAGAGTAATTACTATAGAAAAGGATGTAAGTTGTGATTTTCTCATTTGAAGGCAAGGGCCCCATTAAAATGAACACTGAACCAACATATTATTAGCGCCATTGCGGGGGATAATACAATTTATTAATAACCTAATAATATTGCCTCTACTCTATTCACACTACAAGTACTTGAACAATAAGGATTCCTGTAAGTCTACATTTGATGCAGACAGATCCTGATTGTGAAATGTGTCTGGTCTATTGTCACACTAGCCTTCATGTGTGTGACTTAGAGTGATTTTATCTATTAATCGAGACTTAGTAATAGTCATTTAATGATGTCAGGTTGTCTTCAGCTCATGTCTTGTAGAGAACTAAATAGAATATCACAGCTGGTACCATGGTAGATTATTGAAATAATTGTTATTCCTTTTCTTATGATAAACAAGTACCACCATGCTATGGACCAGGAACTGACTATGATGTCATCACAGTCATCTGGGAATAGTGACATCATGTAAAAAATCGAAGTCTATGAATAGATGCGAAATTGTTCAAGGAACCTAAAAAAAGGGGGACTTTTAACTTAAAAATAAATACTAGGCAGGTTTCTAACTTATGCTATAACAATAAGCTTTAAATTACATTATATCGTACATGTATGTTGATTCAAAATAAATCTAATCTGAGCTAATTATTTTACAGGAACATTTATGTAATCATAAAGCATCTACCTCAGTAGGCCTACCCTGTAAAGTAGGATACAATCTAATTTGAATTGAAATGGAACATCCCCTAAAGATACATTAGTTAAGAGTTACATCTGGTAATTGCAAGTCTTTCTTTAGGCTTCAGATGTTATAGAAATTATTAATTAGACATTTATTTACATGACAAGCTCAAAATCAACTTTGTAGACCCTTAGATGGCTTGGATATAGCTTGGATTTAAACAGTCGTCCATTTAATAATTAAATCAATATATGGCTGACCAAGCTAACGTTTACCGTTAGTCACTGACGTCACTACTACAGACTGACAATGAAAGACCTGCCAATCGAGGGTACCGTAGCCACTGAGAATGTTACTTGATAATCGAGAATATGTGTGTGGAGTTATCATCTGTCAATCAAAACATCAGCAATTATCGGAGACGATGCGGAGGCAGTTAAGGCCTATTTCTAGTCCTAACTTCCAACAGTAGGGGTGATGATTTTCCGTTTCAGAAAATAGCAAATTCCGTTTTAAGTATTTTTAATTCCGTTATTTTCCGTTTCAGAGCTGACCATATTCCGTTTTTTCGAGATAAAATGTTATTTTATGAATAAATGAATAAAACATCTTAAAATGCCTTTTATTACAAAACGGATCATTTTAAACCAATGATAACAAATGTTGAATTGTGAATGACTTGTAATGTTCAATGACTACATGTATGTACATGTATACAGTGCGTTGGGGAAAAAAATCCTAACCTATACAGAATGCCGGTAAATGTCTCCCCGAGATTACCTAACTCATTTGTTATTCAAATCGGCCTGTACTTTAAACATATTCCCGGGAGCATTACTATATTACAACCCCTTCAATTTACAAATGTATTATAGACAATATTAGTTCGACCCTAGCTTAAGGTAGGCTCGCAAATTCCTTGCGGGAAGCACGGCAAAGCACGATGTACTTTTACCGAAACACGGTGAATTCCTAGAGAAACACGGTGAATTCCTAGAGAAACACGGTGAATTCCTAGAGAAACACGGCGAATTCCTAGAGAAACACGGCGAATCTTAGAGAAAAATCGCCGCGGAATTAAGCGAAATTTCACCGTGAAATCTAAGAGAATTCGGAGTGTTTTTTTTCGCCGCGTCGGCGCGATTCTGGTCTCAAAAATTTGGTAGGAACTGTAGTTATTCTTTAAACCTGTTTCCCGAATTAAATAACAAAATTACATCTTGTGAGCTCGTTTCATCTTTTTAGCAGACGAAGCCATTTTTCTCAGCTGCTAGGTGTAGTCGCGATTTATCCAGACATCTTCGTAGTTACTACCGTTTCTTCGAGAATAAGGGCTGGATTCACAAGGCTACGGTATATTTCTGATGTCACGTGGTTAATGCGGATAAACACGAGTCACGAGCCCGGCAGTAAAATAAGAAGTAAATGAAAGGATTTTTACTTTTATGAAGTGACAGAAGATTTTTTAAAGACATATATATACATTACAATGTTTAATTCAAGTTAAACTACAGAGTAATTTTATAATGGGATACATGAAAGACGGGTTTTCGTTTCGATTAAAATTATGATTCCTAAATGATGAAATGAAAGTAGCGAAATACTAAAATAGACAGTAACAAAACCACACGATATCATTCAATATTTCCGATTTTTATGAATAAAAAGATGAAATACTTGGATAACTGCAAAATTATTTTGAGTTTGTGTTTAGTATCAGCAAATATCGGCTTTTCCGTCTTTTTCCGTGTGAGATTTCAAATTCCGTTTTGAGTGGACAATTCCGCGATTTCCGCGTTTTTTCCGCGATCACGGAAAATCATCACCCCTACAACAGTGACAACTTCGTTCAGAACAAAGTAATTTGACTGGAATTTTCAATATTTTCTTTTTTTTATCATCTATTATTTAATTATTATAGCAAGAATGGCCACCTCTTTATTAAAATCTTAACTAATATAAGGGCCTAGTTAAATCATGACAAATATAAACACCATTGCCATTATTACCAAACATGTGAAAACAGTCTGCTAAAACTAAAATACTATGTATAATTAATAGAGCAATGTGGCCTGAAAATAGGTAATTCAATAAATAAACTACCTGAAATATACACACCAATAGTACGCTAGTGCTAGTGCTAGTGGCAGTAGCGATAAACAGCCTGGGCACCTGCTGTTATGAACAGTCACACCAAGCGGACAATCTACCACTGGCCCCTCAACAACACCATCAATCAAACCCTAATAAACTCAATGCAAAACGGAAAACCCCCCCATTAATAACAGGCCAAAATTTCAAATCCATTGTACCAATTAACAGAACAAAATTTCCAAAGAAAGTCAGAATAAACGGTAGTCTATATTATTCACTTCGAGTTCAACATTATCGTCACGTAGCCAAAACTTTTTGACATTTTGTTACGACTCGTTACTTACCGCAGCTTGAAGCAAAGGTAGAATCCAACAAATAAGTAGGACATAATATGTCCATAGTAATTTCTGCCCCTTCATGATGTTTCCCTCCACACGACAACCATCAACAAACTTATTCAGAAGTATAAAAATTACGTTAACCTAACCGTCTTCTGATGTCAACATACGTTTGACGACTGTGGCATGTCTTTTCATCGAGGAATAACTTCTTGGTTGTAATTCACCGACGCGCATACTGATTGGAGAAATTTGACCAATGAAATAACACGTAACAACAGCGATGCTCGTAATCCCGTTATAGTTACTGTCATTTACTTTCATCGACCCTTCCTCCGTTATATCCACTAACTGCACAGTTCTAAGCGGGGGAGTGATTCTTCCATTCTTTCATTTACTAGATGTCTTTTAAGAACCGATCTGTTTCATCATAATTTTAATATCAAACATTTTATTGATCAATGTATTATGTTTTTTTCGCTTCGCAAAACACATCGTCGTTCCGACGAGGATTGTGTGGGACCTTATAACTGTATTCCTAGACTTTGAATGCCAGTACGTAGCATGCACGCCCGTAATAATCGAAATTCATATTGGGGCCGGGAGGCGGACGGGGGACGGCGGTCGGTCAATATTGAGAGCCAATCGGTGTCAGTTTTAAAAGCAAATGAATACACAAGCCCCATCATACGGGAAATTATCATTATGATTTAACGTATTTTTTTTGTATTTTTTTTTTTGCGGGGGGTGGAGGGGGGTATTATAGCCCAATAGCCTAGTATAATTTCATCTTTAAAAAGGCGTGAAATATCGTCACCAAAATATTATCGCAAGGAAAAAAGACCCCTAGTTTTGTGATTGGACCTACGCGATGACCTGATTATCGAAGGTGTGTTATTATGATCGGGTTTGCCAGTACATTGTGAAATTTGTCTTAAGGCAGATCTCGTTTATCGTGATCATTTTACTAAGACCATAAATAGTAGGCCTAAGCGTTTGATCAATTTTACAAGATAACGAACGGTACGTCACAGTGGGTTACTATCTCACAGGCTAACAACTATAATTTTTGTTTAAACGAACCGAACAGAATATGATTACGTATCCTACAGTTTCTTACCATTTCCCCTGATCAAGTTAATTTGTCCATAATGAGAAACTTTAAGACGGATTGCGTTGGCTAAATTAAAGAGGAATCGATAGAAAACGTTCAATAATTGACATTGATATTTTTTGAGAAGTTGATCTCTGCGAATGTGTACATTGAATTTCAGTCCACCATTACGCATGTTTGTGGATAAAGCTTATTAATGTCACGATGTTGATAATAGGAAAAGGTCTAGATCCTTTATTATTTTATAGCGACTTTCATACAATATAAGGACGGAGGGGCTGACAAGGAAAGCTGTCTAGTCGTTCGGATGGGACGAAAACCGAAGTCCCGCGTACATATTGGAGTGCACGTAAAAGATCCCTTGGCAGTTTAAATTCGATATAAGAGTAGGCCGTATAGCGCCGCTGCCCGGGCAAAATTTCCCTCATAGCACACTGTATGGCGTATGCCCGTCTTCTAAAACCCAGTTTAGGAGCAGAACAGTAGGACGTTGAACCCCATTTCATTTCATTTCATTTTCATACAATATAGAGATATTCTCGTGTATGTATATGGAAGGTGAAAACTGTCATATTTCTGAACGTCCACAAAACAACACCAAAAAACAAATAAAAAAAGTAAGCACAACCATAAACTAATTATTTATTTTTACAACCATACAAAGTATATATATGTGATTAACACAAGGTACAATTTTATGGATACGTTTCGACTAAATGCCAATGAAAGAATGTGATAAGATTTCCGAATCTGTCCGTCCGCCACAAGATTAAACATGGTTTAGAACTTGGTTACAGTTCCAACATAGCCTACCATGCCAGAACCAAAATACTCTTATTAGGAAAAGGGGGTTGCATGGCCGAATGGTTAGCGGGTGCGCGTTGTATCACAAGGTCTGTCATTGAGTCAACTGTCGTCATGGTTTCGATTCCCCGGTTGTACGCGACAAGAGGAGTAGTATCGCCTGTCCAACCTCCTGGGTTTTCTAATGGGTCCTCTGGTTTCCTCCCCTTGCTAAAGACCCCTACTTGGAAGCGAAATTACCTAGTTTGTGTCGAGTGACGTAAAACCCCATTTCTTTCCCTCTCTTATTAAGAAAACTTTACAATTTAATGCAATGGGCATTACGACACACCAAAGCCCTGTATTTACAGGCGCCATTTTGGGCCCCAGCTATGACGCCATAAAAACTAAGACGTCATGGCGTCATATAGCTTTAATAATATTTTGGAGAATAAAACTGGTTAATTTTGTGTTAAAATCCCTTAAAATACTCTACCTTAGGGTCGAGCAACTAACTCAATATATTTGAAAAGTTTTCAAACAACTTAAACCTGGAAGCCTTCATTTGGAATTGGGGACTCGTGCCCCAAGCTGTATTATGCGGTGTCTGGATAAAACCAGACTTTTATTTTATAAAAATAATGTGTAGGTGAAATTTACCTTTCGTTATCAAGTACAGCACATGGGTCATTCACTGTTTAAACCTCTAAAGGAACAGGAATCGATTATCAGGTCATCCAACGAAAGAATTGACCCAAAATCTTAAAAGGGTTACGTGTCCGGATAGGCAGTGTTGACGTTCACGTCCAAATGACTCAATATTTTGAGCTGAAATTTTGAGACAGGGTAAATACAACATTCCTCTTTATTTCGGCGCTTAAATTTGATAAATGTTGAGATGTGTGGAAATGTTCGAGACGATTTGTAACAAACCCCCGGCACGATATATATTTGATACTAGTTGAGCATCAGAATAACATGATTATTTCATTGGAAACGATTTTAAATGTTTTATCCATAAGTCAATTTAAAGAAATTTCGATTTTCGAAAAATTGATGATATACAATTAATGATCGATGACCGAAAACTGACACACAATCCGGAATGGCTCCAGAACAAAAAATTATGGAATTTCAGGCATTTATTTTGCAGGCAAGTCCAAATGGTTTTATCTCCCAAAGTACTATTTAAATTTTCATTTTTCACTTTACCCGTCTGCACAAAAAATCTGATTTTTAAAAGCGTATGCAAGTTAAATATATTTAATAGCGCTTTTATCTGGTGCATCTTACATTTCATTTTCTTATGAATTAGACTACATTGTATATTATTATAACAATAATGTGCGCTTTTTTGTTGTATAATAATAATAATAGTTTGTTCAGCTATACTTTTCGTTTAAAATATGTATGTTTTATCTCTTTTTCAAGGAATTCTATGACATATCTATCTACATCCCTGTCGGGGGCAGCCAACTTCGACACCACAGTATGATAGTATGGAAGTATAACGTTGCCAAAAGTCTGAAGAAAGACAACGTTTCAAAATACATCTTTCAATGTTTCAAAATACTAATGTCCTAGCGTAAAAATGCAAAGTATACTTTTTAAAATACAAAGTACATTTGTTAAGCTCTTACATTCTGAAGAATGAAACAACTTTGAATTAGCTACTTTACATTTTACACGTTGCATTATGCACTTTGCATTGTCGACCTACGTATCTTTAGACTTTTGGCAATGTTATACTTCCATATTTAAGAGGTTTACGAATATGAAAATAATACTGTTGTTATTGCTTCAAGGTATATAATTTATTAAAACGTGATCTGTTCTCATTAATCATGTGGTTCCACTTTTATTATGGTTGTACGAAATGAAGTGAGGTTTAACGTCCTACTGTTCTGCTCCTAAACTGGGCTAATGAAGACGGGCATACGCCATACAGTGTGCTATGAGGGAAATTTTGCCCGGGCAGCGGCGCTACGGCCTACTCTTATATCGAATTCCAACTGCCAAGGGATCTATTACGTGCACGCCAATATGTACACGAGACCTCGGTTTTTCTTCCCATCCGAACGACTAGACAGCTGTCCTTGTCAGGCCCTCCATCCTGCATAACTGACAAGGGGGAACCACGCCGGAAAATCTGGATGAACTTTCTCGGCCAATGCAGGGATCGAACACCCGACCTCCAGGCTAGCGAGCCAGCGTCTTACCCACGTAGCCACGTGATCCCCCTTATGGTTGTACACAATAGAATATATTTCTTTCTTTTTGACTGTATTAGTATTGTGCTTAACAACGAATCATTGACGAAACGTATAGCTCGATTAAAATACAGTAATTGTTTTCCATAAAACACAAGAACTATAAAGCATAAGAACCCTTGACGGTAGGAATTCGAAATAAGAGCAGACAAAATGCCACTGCCCGAGTAACATTTCACCCATAGTACACTCAGGCCAGCCCCCATTATAAATGGGCCCCTTCTGAGTCCATATATAAACTTTCTATATATAACCCTTAAACGGGATGACGACTATTATTCGAATATTGCAATTTTTAATGAAAATATTGACGAATCCATTAGTTTAGATTTGAAAGCCTGCAATGTTTTATTTTTACACCCACTGTATTTGAAACTTATCGCTATTTTTGATCTATATTATGCACAAGACTGATATACTAGTTACAACAGTTCTTTTGTATTATTAATCGAGTATCAAGGAAATCAATAATCATGGGATATTTGGAGCATTTTATCATGACAGAAGCATTTGAGAAATTAATAGCGCACTTTATTACATGCAGTAGGGGCTACCGACAGAGGCGTAGCCAGTGAAATATATATTGGGGGGGGGGGGCAAATGAAATTATATAAAATGTTGACAATCTGTGCGCGATAGGAAGAGTGTGGGAGGGTCACCCTAACCTCCGACCGTTTTGGCATATTTTACGGGGTTAAACTAAAACATCACACCAATACAATGTTTATCATGTTTAAGTCAGGGGGTGCCGTATTCATATTTTTTTCATGACTGTTACATATTGAATGTTATGCTTGAGTTATGAACAACACGACAAAGAGAGTTTAGTAGGGGAATTTTTATGAGGAGGATCCAAATGAAACAAAACTTGATATAGGTTTATCTCCAAAAGATCTCGGCTGCTTTCGATATTGGCATGTATCGGATCGAAACTTCATGGATTATGGCCCCTGTTTGAACGAAAAATCACGTTTTTAGCTTGTGGACCATATAGAGGTCACAAATGTAGGTTTATAACCCAAAGATCTCAGTTCCTTTCGATATTCA